AAACATCTGCTCTTGAAGGGAAATTAAACCTGGTATTTTAGACAAAAGCGTGTTGTACCTTGCTGAGGTTGGAGTAAAGCTCCACAACACTGTTACAGAACCTTTCCACATCCTGCGTCAGCAGCTGGTCAGCGTTAGCAATGCGGTTATCCAGGTTTCCCATTTTGTAGTACGTATATCCCCTAAGAACCCAAAGATAGTGACAATAGTATTTAAATTTTCTTCAGATTATCATCAGTCATATCACTCAGTGAGGTAAAGTTGACTCTCCTCAACAATCTGGTGTCCTTATTTATATTGGCTGATATTAGTTTAGTTACTTATAATATTTTTTGTTTAAAGTATTTTTCATATACGTTTACATTACCTTTGTACAAAGTGGTCAGTTAATAGTTTTAAGACTAAAATGTTTTATTCATCTCAAATTGAAAGCATTTTAAATAATACATTAATTAATTTTTTTTCACAAAAATGAAAATTTACACAGACGCATCAATTTTAATAAATCATAATTTAGTACATTAAAACAAAAGCATAATCCAGTATGAGCAAATATTATAAAAACGCACTGCTTGCGAAAATAGCATTATGCAGATTTTCCTTTTTGTAAAGAATATTTAAGTTGGAACATTAGCGCCTTTTAAACATACAGTCTTCATGGGAAATTACTATAAAGAGATTATATGTGAACAACAGGACCTTTTCAAAAATGCCAGAAAATCAGTTCTGACAGTTTGACAGTTATGAGAAGTCGTAACATTACCGGTATGATGCTGTGTGTGAACGTAAGAAGTTTGTTTTGGGGAAATCATATTTCTCTGTCTGAGCTATTTATGGTACATTCCACTGCTTTTAATGGTTTTTCTAGAAACATGTCCTAGACGAACACAGCGAAAAGACAGAATGCCTTTGCTTTGTGTGAACAGCACGTTTGTGCATTTACTGAAAAAGTCGTTTTGTAAATTTAATGCTAATTTACCGGCATTGCTGTGTGAAAGGGGCAAATGTCACGGCTGTGATGGGTCTTACTTCAGGTACTCATCGTAGAGATGTTTGGTTAGTCTCACGCGAAAGCACAGCTTCAGTTCATTCAAGCCCAACTTCAGGAAGTTGTTCACCAAGGCAATCTGAATGATTGAAATGAAACCATTTACACCATGTTTCTATACCAACAAACTCATACAATTCTAGCATGCAGCTCACTTACTGATATTAAACAAATGTCATAAAAGTGCTTTTGTCAACAGGAAGTACATGTTAAAGGAGGAGTTCACTTTTTTTTTTTAAAAAAAAACTTTTGCTGATAATTTACACACCCCCATGTCCAAGATTTGCGTGTTTTTATTTTTTCTTCAGTCGAAAAGAAATTAAGGTTTTTGATATTGTAATTTTATTTCTATAATAATGGTTTGCAGATTAATATTTTACCCTTTTTGTGTCCTGAAGTAACGACCCTATTTCTGTTTCAGTTCTATGAAAAGCAGTGGGCTTATTAAACAATGCTTAGAGAGCATTTGTGTGTGATTTGAGTTAAACTTAAAGAGAATGACCTGTTTAGTTGGCTCTAAGTTCATTAAAACCACTATTTCAAAAGCTGAACTGATTTTCTTTTTTATATTATAGTAAGAATATGTATAACTCAATGTTTTAACTAATTTAAAAATCTGAATAATAGATCCAAACTTACTGATTAGCCGGAAAAATAATCGACGATTAGTCGATTAATCGTTCTAATAATCGTTAGATTAATCGATTATCAAAATAATTGTTTGTTGCAGCCCTTTGTTTGATAAAAATATTCCAGGATTTTTCTCCATATAATGGACTTCAATGGGAACCAAACGGTTCAAGGTCCAAATCAGAGTTTCAGTGCAGCTTCAAAGGGCTTTAAACGACACCAGACGATGAATAAGGGTCTTATCTAGCGAAATGACCGGTCATTTCAAAAATAAATAAAAAAGTTTAAGTTTTATAAGCACAAATGTTCGTCTTGCTCTGTTCTGTGAACCTGGAATGTTTTCATCAAAAAACGTAATTTCTTTTCGACTGAAGAAAGAAAGACATGGTTATCTTGGATGGCATGGGGGTGAGTAAATTATTAGCAAAAGTTTTTTTTTTTAAAGTGAACTACTCCTTTAGGTTGTTATTGGGAAGCAGTTTTAGTGTTGAATTCAACGATTAGACTGTCAATATTCTCAGAACTCCTCTGACTATTAACAATTACTACCGACTCTGATAAAAAGCAGAAACTTACAATTGGCATGGCCGTCATAAAGTTGAATAAATACTTCTTGAAACCTTCAGTGGATCGCCCAATGATCGCACTACAAACCACAACGTGCACACAAACATATGCAGACATGGTCAGAGTTAATGCAGAAGGGAATAAACACACATCCAGCCATTTTTTTTTCTTCATGAAACACTAAATGAATGCAAATTCTTTTTAAGGAAGAACACATTTGTAGGCCAGAGGAGATCTGAAAAGTGAGCATGTGAGGAAACACAATGGACAGGTTCAGTGATGTAAATTACATGATGCCACCACATCTGTAACAATACATTAGTTTTCACAGCACATGAACATACAGTAAATTACCAAAGGAATGACAGTCAGGTAGGAATAAAAGTGCCACTTGAACAATTTGATACATCTGCTAATGATTCCACTGTCAAAGATTTAAAAATACAAAACAAAAAAACAATATTTATCTGGGTTCCTGGCATATATTTGACAGCACTAACAAATTTGAAGTCCAGATCCACGCAATACCTTTCAATCATAGTGCCGTTCTGAATCATCCAGACGTCGCAATAGGTCCGAGTCACAAGCATCACTGCGATCAGGAGCAGGTACCATGTCTGTGACACACACACACACACAATAATGCACTGAAATAATTTACTTATATTTAGCAGATTTACTCACATTATTATTTAAAGGTTTGGAGTTGGTTACATTACTCCAGTCTTCAGTGTCACATGATCATTCAGAAATCATTTCTTGCTGCTCAAGAAACATTTCGTAGCCATTACATGGGGCACATTAAAGTAGGTTACAACTCTCACTTCTTTACACAGCAATCTCGGCACCATAATCCCGAGGATCCGTGCAATCCGGATGAAAAAAACCTTGTCAACAGCGGCTCTTTCTTTCTTGCCATCTTTCTGTTGGTTTTAAAGCACAAGTGTTGAAAGTCAAAGGCAACTCATGGAATATAGTCTCACTCAGCCAGACCTTGAACTAAAGATCATGATGGACACCTAATAAGTAATAATAAATATGAATAGTGGAAATCTGTAGAGACTGCAGTGCAGAATAAAAGTACAGACAGTTCTGTTCAAGGACATTCAATACCTCAATTAAAACTCTGATCCTTAATCACTAAACCCAAGTAAAAGACACATGTGGTTCTCTCACCTCACTGTTCAGATCATTGGGAGAACCCTTCTTCCTGTTGAGAATGATGAAATAGATCACAAACAATAGTAGATGATTAGGTCTAATCATATTGAATATGAAGTGTTATAGAAATATAGTGCATTTATTTATTTTTTTGGTGAAAAGTATACTAATATTCAGAAAGTTTGAGCATAAATCTTTTTTTATATAATGCAAACTGTGGCATCAATTGTCCAAAGAACAATGTCCTTTATGAATGAGCCCTTTGTTGGACAGTGAGACTGCAACAATTAATAATCTTGTTCAATAAACTTATTCATCTTTATTTAAACGATTGAGTTTCAATATTTAAGAATGATATAGACTGCGTCTTAAACCCTACAGAGCTTTCTGCCTAGACAGTACATTTGGAGCATGGCAGTTATATTAGAATTTGACACATGGCCATTAAACTACCGGTACAGTAAATTTGCTGGGGTCACTCTGACAGTGAACTCAGAATGCATTAGACACTTTATGTGCGTTTTTGCATACCTGTTAAGTCCAGCGGATCTTCTTCTCTGCTTTAGGAAGTATAAAAGGAGTAGGACACCGCCAGCTACAGCGGAGTTCTTCGCTGTCAAGTACTTACTGACGGCCGCCATGTTTCCTACTGAGACAGTCAGGAGAACAGCGCCACACACAAACCCGGAAGAGAGAGAGAGAGTGAGAGAGAGAGAGAGAGAGAGAGAGAGAGAGAGAGAGAGAGAGAGAGAGAGAGCGAGCGAGAGAGAGAGAGAGAGAGAGAGAGAGAGAGAGAGAGAGAGAGAGAGAGAGAGACCTACCGGCTACCTTACTCATGATGACCTCATCATCACACCATCATCATGAAGTGACCGTGTTTAACCCTTTTTTACAGTCTATGGTTCATGAAACCGTACATATTATTGACGTGCGGGAGATAAAGCCTAATGAATTAATTACCATGTTAAAGTAACAGTGTTACTCGGAAATTACAGATTCTAATTCTCTTTAGTAGATTTCCCTTTCAAGAGTTTCAAAGTATGATGATCGATCCACAAATAAACACTACCTTGGTTTTAAACAAAACACCTTAAAAAGACAGAAGAAAAAGACAAAAAAGACTTAAAAAGATCTTTATAGCTTTCCTAGTACTAAACTGAATAACATAGTTTTCCATTTTTGAAAGGCAAAGCTATACAAAGAAAATTGTTGTATGTTGTTGGAAAAAATGTATAAATGCATTTTAATTTTTAATGGGCCTCTCGTTATCATGCTTTAAATAACCAAAGTTGACATATCATCATTATATGTCTGCAATTAAATTTGTAAAATATACCTTAGGCCTACAACTGGATAGGAGTAAAAATTGACCCACAGCCAACACGAACGTAAACACATGAATATATTTTTACTATACTATATACTATATTTTGAACATATAGTGGCCTATTTCATAGCATGCGATTTTTTAAAAATAAAAACAACCATTTAGACCAAATCTATACATAAAAATGTAAAGGCTATTACATAAAAAAATAATAATAATAAAAAAACATCTTTCCGCTTTGTACCAGATGCGGAAGTGACGCACGGTGCGGCCAGGGCTCGCTGCTGTGCGTAGCGTTCGCTCCGACGTAGAGCGCGAGACAGACAACATCATCAGACGCGAGCGAAATACTGGATTAATTCGCAATCTACAAAAACAACCAGCGACCGTACGTACCCACAGTCACTATCCGATTAATATGCATAGCTTTAGCTGCCCACTTGTGCGAGATTTAGTTTTGGGAAAATAAGCGGATGGATTGAGGAGTGGGACATGTAACGTTGACGTTAGTGAATTGGGATAAAGTGGGGATGCGAGATGCTGCTGTTGGCCTGTAACACCGAGCCGCTGCGCTGCGTCCTGCGTGCACAATGTCACGTCTATTATTATGATGTGTTTGCGCATAAAAAGCACGGTCGTCATATGCAGTGATGCTAAAAGCTAGCCTTTTATCCTTGCATGTAAAATATTAATTGGCCGACCGGTAGAGTCAGTTTACAATCGGGACTTCAGGCTAAATTGAAAACCACACTTGTGTTTCAGAGGAGGCACGAATGCGATGCGTTATGCACATTTGCTTTGAATCTGTTTTTTACCCCCCTCTGCAATTACACGTCGGTGTATGTTTTAAATCTCATATCTCGGATGAATTCGACGTTGCATGTGACATCGGCACGCGATTTAACACGTTCCTTTTCATAATCTCGACAATTTCTTGATAGGCCATTGAGTAACACATGATCTTATCTTTTAACATGTTAATAAACTCATGCAATCCATTCAAAATCTGTGAAAATATGTGTGGCTTTGTGTTTCCAGACATCAATTTGATTGACAGGTCTAGAGAGGATGGCTTGTGGTGTATAGAGGAACTGAATTCATTAAAATACCTGTTTCACATGATAAAACTGAACCTTGGCAAAGCTTTTTTTTTCTTTGTTCTTACCAATACTGATATGTATTATATTGTATCCAATAGCCAGTATGGATAACCATTTTAATAATTTCTTAAACATCCACGTATGAGACACATCATGGCCGTATTCCAGGATGACAATGTCAAGATTCATCAGGCTCAAATTGCATTTTCACACATGAATTGGCTCTGAGTCCAGACCTTAAATTCAGGGAAAGTCTTTTGGATTTGCTGGAGGAGAGCGCTGGACTCTTGCATTGTCAATTCAAGATCTTGACCAAAAATGTATGCACCTCTTGATTGAAATAACATCACAACATTTATTTCAATCAATAGGTGCATACATTTTGTGGCCTGTAATTTTTCAAAAGAAAAGTGAACCACAATACAACTGTCTAGTAATAGGTCATTGTTTGGTTGAATGTAATTTTTTCTACTTCCTTCCTCTTTAAAGGTGCAGAACGATAAACACCATGAACCCTGTTTATAACCCTGCGTCAACAGGGGTTCCTTATGCCAACCCTAAAGGAATAGGATACCCAGGTAACCAGAGATGAGCTCTGTCTCACTTGCATGCAATCGATAGGAAACGTTTGCAGTTTTCGCACTATATACAATTAAGTTCCAGCACATTGTCTTTGTTGTTATTGTGTATTGCTGTGATTTTTATTCATTTATTTATTTCTCCAGCGGGATTTCCTGTGGGTTATGCAGCGGCAGCTCCAGCGTACTCCCCCAGCATGTACCCTGGTGCTACTCCAGCCTTTCCTACAGGTAAGAGAAGTCCAAACTCGTTCAACTAGGGCTGTCAAACGATTAATCGCATCCAAAATAAAAGTTTGTGTTTACATAATATATGTGGGTGCACTGTGTATAATTATTTTGTATATATGTATAAATACACACACATGCATGTATATTTAAGAACAAAATATTATTTATATATAAAATATTTATATTTATATATAATAAAAATTATATATACATCTATACAGTATATACATGAAAATATTTCTTAAATATATACAAGCATGTGTGTGTATTTATATATATATAAAATAATTATACACAATGCACCCATATATATTATGTAAACACAAACTTTTATTTTGGATGCGATTAATCGTGCCCTGCATTCAACTTTACAGTGTTTTTGAGCCAAAACACAGCTGTTAATAATGCAATGAGTTATAACAGGGCTCTCCTTTGCTCAGCCAAGAAATATTTCCATAGGTTTTGATTTTTGCTGTTTTAAGAAGCTAGAAAGTAGAGTTCTTGGAGTTTGTTTTTTAATTATTTTTCTTTAGCGTTTTGTGTTATATCTCAACAGTACAGCATAAAGACAGTCAACTTGAAATGACATGCACTGCCCATTTTGCTTTCATAATATTTAGTGATGCACCAAAATTATTCTTTTTTTTCCATCTAAGTTTTCATTTAGAGAAGTTGAAAATCAAATGTTTTTAATAGTCAATTTACTAATCAAATGTATTTAATAATAAATAGTCAAATAAAAACTGTTGTTACAGTTTTATATCAACTTTCTAATTATAGGCCTATGAATATGTTTCTACTCCAGTTTATTGTTGAAATATAAATATTTAAATGGTGGCTGTAAAAAAAATCTTGCTTTCATGACATTTATTCAAACATATATTAAATAATAAAGGCAATAGGTGATGTAATAATATAATGAATATGTAATATAGTGCAGTCAAAACATTTTATTTGAATTTTCTTTTGTAAATTGACAGAATCAGGCTTGGATTTTTCATTTTAAAAGTAACAAAGCATATTGCCATCATTGGATGGTAGGTATGCTATAAATAATGTTAAGTTTTGTTCACTCATCATCTGAAAACAGCATATACTAAAAGATCCCAGTTCATCAAAATGAAGATTGATTAAAATCGACAGGTCGTTATTGTCAATCTAGCTCTAGCTGTAGCTGATCCACATTGGGTTCACGAAATAGACTCTGAAACAGTCAACACACACCATCGGAGAAGCGCTAAATCATGACACACATGCTGATTTTTGGACCGGATGAATATTTTTGTTTGCCAGAATTTTGGTGCATCACTACTACAAAATTGGGTGGTACTTCATTTTATCCATCTACTTTTATTCATAGGGTCATGTGTGATGCTCACTTTTTCTATTTTCTTTACCTCTTCAAATGCATTGTCATCCTTACAGGTTATGCTCCTGGGACCCCTTTCAAAATGTCCTGCTCCCCAACAACAGGTGCTGTACCCCCCTATTCCTCATCACCCAACCCCTACCCTGCTGCCGTCTACCCTGTGAGAAGTCCCTACCCCCAGCAGAACCCCTACGCACAGGTAAGGCGATGTAACCATGAAATAAAAATTTACAATTCTTATTTTTATGGAATTTTTCAGTATTTTTAAAGAATGATTTATCAGTATTTAAAAAGAAAAATTCTAAATAACTTCCCCTCCCTCTTGCAACGATTTCTCTGATGACGTGTTTACCGGTACGAGGGGGGGGGACAACCTGTCACTCACATGACATCACAGTAATAGCAAATGACAACCATCCAATCAACCCCCAAAGGACAAAATCAAGTCCCATCCTAATTTTTTTACTTGTTTGACAAGTCGTTTTACTCAGATTTATTGATCAATAGGAAAAAAAATGGTATCGCAAATGTTGTTTCATGCTGAGTAATGTCAACCCTGGCCTGTATTTTAAGATGTTAGATGTTCTTTCCACAGCAGCAAGGCACTTACTACACACAGCCCCTTTACGCAGCGCCGCCGCATGTCATTCATCATACAACGGTGGTCCAGCCCAATGGCATGCCGGCGGCCATGTATGCCCCTCAAATTCCCCCACCCCGTCCTAATGGAGTCGCCATGGGAATGGTTGGAGGCACCACCATGGCGATGTCAGCTGGTGAGTCTCATGGAAATAATCAATGGAAATTCATCTAATTGAACAAAAAAGAGTGAACTTATTTTTTTTTTCTTCGCAGGGACGTTATTAACCACTCACTCTCCAGCCCCGGTCGCGCCCCACCCCTCAATGCCCACGTACCGCCAGCCCGCCACTCCTACCTACAGTTACGTGCCGCCGCAGTGGTGAACACGACACTGTGAGTGCAAATCCCACGTTTACCAACTCTTTAGGTGCGCTCACATGTGTGTTTGAATTGGGTTGACTGACAGACAGCTGCTTAGTTTAAAAGTGATTCCTGTGTGAGTTTTTCTTCATACATTACTAATAGGGCTGGGTAATAAATATCGATTTCTCGATATTAATCGATTCTCATTTTTATGAACCAATATCGATTCTTAAATCTCAAGAATCGATTAGTCATCCTGTTTCATTTGAATAAATGGAAACATTGTCTCGCGGCTGCGCGCATCCAAAAAATCGCAATAATCTTTGTCCTTTGTTACTATTGATATGAAACAAAGTCTCAATTTTCAAATTACGTCCATTTTCTTTAGAAATTCAAAAGCATAAATAACGTTTTGGCGCTGTGGCGTGAGATCGCTCTGGCGCAGCTCAAGAGAAGCAGCAGCGCTGATCTCTCTTCCGGGTTAATAATACCAGTTACAGCGTGAAATAAACATGAATGAGCATCTGAAAGTGTGTTAAAAGTTAGAGTACAACTTATCGAAATCTGTATCATGTCACATTGATTCACTCAATCAGCGTTTCAACCGTGGAAAGACGTCAGTTAAACAGCTTGTAATCAATGTCGTCGTCATATTTACCTCAGAAAACCCACATAAACTCGTTAGTCAGCTAGAAAAAATAACTCTAGAGAGGAGCTTTTTGCTAAATATATACACCATATTACATGTGCATTATAATCTTAATGTTCTTCAATATTGAATGCATATTTGAATAAATCTGGCAAATTTTTATGACAGCCACCATTTAAATGTTTGTATTTCATATAATCTTCCTATTATAAAAATAAATAAAAGTGTAATTTAAGTGTTTCTATAGCTACAAAACACCTTCATATTAGGCTAATGAAGCCTAAAGGCTACAACTAGACTCCCATAGTTTACAGCATTAGTTAAGAGATTTTATTTCCTTGAGAAAATTTGCCATTTGTTGTAACTGATATCCAAAATAATCAATATTGAATCGGAATCGAAATCGAATCGAATTGCAAGCTTGTGAATCAAAATCGAATCGAATTGTGAAATTTGTGTCAATACCCAGCCCTAATTACTACACTATTTAAAATAGATACATTTTGCCTGTAAAATTTGCTAATGTGATCGCACCTTCTCTGAGTTTATCAGGAGTTCTCGACTCTGTCCCTCGAGATCCATTTTCCTCCAGAGTTTACTTCTGACCTTTATTAAACTCACCTTTCTACAACTTTCTAGTAATCCTGAAGACTTTGATTGGCTTATTCAGGTTTGTTTGGCCTCGTTTACACCTGGTATTGAGATGTTTTTTACAATCGCATCACAAGTAGATGAGGGAGACAGTCAGTCATTCGACCACGTGTTTACGACCACGGGCGAATGCGTTTTTGACTACCTCTGGAAGTGTTTGAAAGTGGACAAGCTCAAAGCGTTTTAGACCCTGTTTACACCTGTATTTAGCACAGTCCACTTGTGATCCGATCAACCGAAACGCATCTTAATACCAGGTGTTAACAGGGCCTTTGATTAGGGTTGGAGATAAACTGCACAGGAAAAATGGATCTCGAGGGCCAGAGTTGAGAATCCCTGATGTATACACTTAACAAAATGATATGATGATGTTGTCCCTATTTGAAATAATTGTCTTTTTGTCATCTTTAGGTCAAAAGATGGTAGATATGCATTCTCACTGTCCAGTATTTTACAATTGGAGCTGACACTACAAGTGCTATCAGAAAGTTGCTCTTCCTTCCAAACATAATGTGAATCCGACTCCAGTTGGAAGATGAAAGGAAAGAGTATCTTCCCAGTTCGGCTCTGTAACAACTTCCCATCTTTCACTCATTCTACGACATATCTCACGGCCGAAGAACAGACAAGCTCTTCATGCTGAATTGTGTTGTGTGGACTGTCTTGCAGTTTTTAGCTAACTCTTTAATTGGTGAAACCGGAAAGGGAGTTGGAATTAGTTTTAATTGGAATACCTATTGAATGCATGTATATATTTTAAAAAAAAAAAAGGCAAAAAGAGACATAAAATAATAATTCCATCAGCAATGGCTCATTCTACCACATATGACAGATGCAAAACCATCAGCAGTTATCTCAAGCAAAAATCCAAAGGGATTGGGAGAAAAACAACTGTACATTAAATGCAATGTCTTAATTGTTATTTCATACAAGATATTAATAACGTTAGCATTTAAAATAACTTTTTTTTGTTTGTTATTTTTCCTGGTTTTAATTTGGGTATTTGTAACTGCAGGCATGGTTCGTCTTCTCTGGGTGACGGTGTGTTTGTTACTGCTTTGCCCCGCTTGAAGACGAACCCTTAGGGTTTGTGCCTCCGCTTCATATGCCTGTTTTTAGTTGATAAGTTTTATCACTCTACACGCTCTCGCTGCAGTTAATTGTTGCACTAATTGCCTGTGTGTGTACATAAATTGGTTGATTGAGCTGTATTGGTGCTGAGAGCATGCATACTCATTTGTGTACCTCTGGCTTGGTTTTCTTAACTTTTAAAATTTGACCGAAAAAAATTACATTGGAATCGCACTGAGTTTGCGAAATTTTAAGTGGTAAATTGTTTGTGCTTAATTCAAGAAAAAAAACAAAACAACTCAATTAAGTTGATTTGATAACACTACTGAGGAGAGGTGAATTTGAATTATTATTGACCCAAATCTCTACATTGCGTGTTTCCTCAAGATTACACAGTATGTAACTGAATTTCATTGTCTTTTTACTTTAAACATTGCCTATGTCACTTCGGTTAAAGAATGTTTTGTAATGTTTAATGTGTTTTTGTTTTGTATTTTCAAAAAAGACCAACAAATAAATACAATAATAAATAACGAGTTTTCTACTTTTACTTTTGATGTGTTGGATAGTAGTAAAGGTTCTTATAAAGAACCCCTATCAAGTGCCTTTTTTGAAGGACAATTCATCAAATCTGTCTAAAATGTTATGAATTTTAAAAATAATTGTCTAGTAGTCAAACATGATTGGAGAGGATATGGAACGATTCGAGAACGTGATTTATTCCAACTTCAATCACTGGATATCGCCATTAGTCCATCCATAACTCTATTTAGTATAATAGAAAACATTCAAGACAATGGTTTATTCTGTTTGTCGACTTACTTGATTAAATTTCTAAAAATTGTAGTTCAGGTAACGTTAATATAGTTTTACTGCGCGCGACTCAACTTTTAAACATTTTGAGCTCGCGCTTGACCGAACAAAGCAAACCGCTCGCGTCGCCTCACCGTGGACTCGACGACGGATTTGTGTATACAAACTACTTTCTCATAAAAAAGAAGGTAAGAAATTATTTTAAACTAACGTTACAATATTAGAGGACATTCGACGAATACGTTAGCTTTTCTGTCCCGTGACCCATTTTAAAACATTAAAAGTAACGTTACATCACAAATTTGTTGTGAGAGGAATAAGTTATCTTCTAACACAACATTTACTGCGAAACATAAGTTAGCCAGTTTAAACATTCAGTTCAATTCATCGATACTCCTCACAACTTATAATATTTATTTATAAATTACATCCTAATTTAGGCTGAATCTCTGTTCAAACCACTATGGGTAACATTATGTTTTGTATATTGTTCTATTATTATTTCTTTATTAATTGATCTGAGAAATGTCAAATGTGCTCTTTTTATCTCTTTAGTGTAAAGCAGTAGGCTATGGATGCAGCTGATGGAAGTAAAAAAATCTCTCCGTCTGCAGAAGATGCTCAGGTAAAGTTAACTGAATTCTAACAGTTACCGTTACAACCAAAGAAGGTAACAAGTCACTTCTCGTTGCTACAACTTAAAAGTCACCGTCTGCCATAACTTAAGGGATTTTAGTTTAAATTAAAGGGTAATTTTGTGTCCAAAATTTAGGGTTTGTCCTAGATGACGCACTATGCACTTATACAACTTATATGCTGTGTACTCAACCGTGTAATGTTAGTGTATGAATGTTATAAGGTTGTGTCATTCAACATTGGAGTCTTTCTTCAGCAGTGGTGGTGGTTCCAGAAGTAACGTTAACGTTAAGATGTATTTTGCCATTCTTTTTCCCCTCATAAGGATTTGTAAAAAGTCTTAGTTAAAGAGTTATAAGCCATGAACCAAGTCAATCAGCTATGGGGTGAATCATAACATTACAAACTTTGATTTGAAGCAAAAACAAAACTAGCAGATCATCCGGGGACTTTTTGCCTTCTTTTTATGAGTACTCTGAATTCAGACATACTTGTCACATACTGTTTTTTCGCCTGCTATATACTAGGGAAGTATGCGTTTTCGGATTGCAGCCCAAGTCTATTCAGTTTGTACATTTTAGGCAGACCCATAGACCACTATGCAACACGATTGTGACGTCACAGTAGACATATTATTTTGACATACATTCAACTGTGTAATACTCTACCTTAAGCTGACTTTTTACACAGTTATAGTGTCACTCTAGTCTAGGGCGTTCCATTTATCGGAAATACATTGCAAGGGTTACGCCAGTAGAGGGCGCTCGTGCAATTTAAACAATAATGTACATCCGAGTTGGAGGGAGGGCATAATAAATGGACATAAATGCAATTGATAAGTAAACACTACTCGCACTACTACAATACTACAAAACTGCTCAGAATAGTGCACAAGTGCTCGAATTTTGGATGCACCTTCCACCTCTGGTCACAGGGGTTCCCTTTAAAACTCAACTGCTTATTATTAATTTTGCACAGTCTCCTCTGAACAGCTTCAGTGTTATGTAGTGTCTCTGAGTGACTGAGTAAGACTGTGGGTTCAGACGTTTGTGACTGTGATCGGGTCGCGCATGTAGGTGGCAGGTGGAAAAAAGCGTAGGAATGACCTTTTCTGATTTGGAAAATCATATGTGTGTGTGATCTAAACCTCACAGATTACTGTAAGTATTCATCACAAGATCACCATAAGGTCCTTCTTGTAGCCTATATGTAATATACATATATGTCAAGTAGAATTCAGGGATTCAGAAAAGTTTTTAAGGAATAGTTAATAAAAAAAAAAGTATTCTGATGATTTACGCTTTAATAATCAAAACCCTATTTCTACTCAGGCATCATCAGTAATTTTTAAAGATGAAAACCCTGACGGGGATCTCCCAGACTCTTCCACCAGTACAGATCTGAGTGATGGTCTAAAAGGTGAAGATGACGCTGAGGCATCCTCAAGAAATCTTTTCAGCAACACCAATGCAGGCCCTTTCAGTGAGGCCTTTCAAAGGCATTTCCCATGCACAGTGGCCCCAAAACCTATTTAGACACTTTTGGACACACTCTTTAGTTTCACTTTAAAATGAATGAATGCCATTGCATTATATAAAATATCAGACCAAATGGCAATTCCCAAACAACCAACTTAAATTTTCTGAGCCATTTTCTTGTAATGTTTAACAACCAGAAAGTTTTCAAATGCTTTTTGCAATTTTAAATCTATTTTATTATTTAAAACTCAGCAAACCTTTTTTTTGTGAAATGTTTTTAAAATGTGCTTGTGCTGTCTTTCTTTAAAAAAACAAAAACGTTTTGAGGCCACTAGGTGATTTCTTAAACAATATTGTACAATCAAAAGTATGCGAATGCACAGCCTTGTCCTCATGTGACCTTTCTTTGTTTTATTATTCTGAAGTGTCAGTCAACCAGAGCGGCAGTGTCCAATTGATCCCCTGCCATCAGAGATATGAAACCTTCACTTCATGGCCTAGGTCTCCCATAATGCAGTATGCTGTCCACTCCAGCAATGGCACCTACCTTGTGTCTGAAAAAAAGGGCCAAGGTAATGATGTTGTCATTTATTTCATTCATTTGGATTATACTCATTTTTTTATAATACCATATAGAGAAAACTAAGTATTATGGAAGTGAATGGCACCTTAGATTTTGAAGTCCAAAAGAGCGCAACCATCCGTCCATCATAAAAGTAATTCATACAGCGCCAATGGATTAATAAAGGGTCAGACGCACTCGGGCCAGAGGTCACTCTTCTGCCCGAACTGGACTCGCATACGGCCGTTACCAGAAGCCAGTGATTATAGTTTATAAAGTTCTAAATATGGATATTTTTCGCTTTTCTTCAGAAAGCCTTCCTTAACCTCCTGGAGCCTTATAGATTATTTTTATGATGCTTTTTGGAGCTTCAAATTCTCAGGGTCTTTTCACTGCCATTATAAAACTTGGGTAATTCTTATAAGAACATAGTGAGAATGATACCTTTTTTTTACCATTAATATTATTTTTGTTTGCCTTTGACATTGGCATTATTTCCATAACAATTAAGTAACGAGAATAGTTTTGCAAAAAAAAATCTTAGTTTTCCTAAAAATAGGTTTAATTATTTTTTTATATACAGTTTAGAATTTTGGAGTTAGTAATATTTTTTTAATGTTTTAGAAAGAAGCCTCTTGCTTCTTAAGAAAGATTATCTTGAAATAAAATATTGTTGTTTATTTCTGTGACGGCAAAGCTAATATTTAAGCAGCCATTCCTCCAGTCTTCAGTGTCACGTGATCCTTCAAAAATCATTCTATGCTGATTTTTTTTTTGTAACAGTGTAAAAGTCTTCTGTGTTGCCTTTGATCAATTTAATGCATCATCTTTATGCCCCAACAGTTTGTATGGTATTTTATTTCTTTCTTTTTATTTTTGGGTGAAATGATCAGTATGTTCCTGACAGGTTTCATGCAATTTACAGCCTTACAAAGACCTTTTGTGCATAAATTCATGTCAGCACTGCTTGCTTGAAATGAAAAGCAGGCTTTCCAAAACAATTTCACATGACACTGTACAGAAAGCATCTTTTTTCTGTTAAAACCATAGAAAACACAATCTAGAGACAGTCTTATACATAAAAAAACTGCCTTTGCTTCTATACTCTGCTTCGGTCCGCTTCACTGTCTGATGTGTGACGACAGACGGGGGTGGGGGAAGGAAGGGCTGGCTCTGCTAGCCACTGCGTTACTGACATCAGGAGGCCAATGATGTCATAGTGATGTCAATGGCCCTGACAGTGACTGCACACTTAGCTTGTGGTTTGGGCATCATTGCATGCTGACAGCTGAGAGAGACAGACTTGCTTTCAGCTCACTATATGGCTGTAACTGGAGATGAGACAGAATCAGGTACGTTGGCTGTTTCTTGTGGTAATTTTGCTCTTTTCACCGCGTTTAACAATACATTTAAAGATTGCATTTAAAATACCTCTGTTTATTTTTAGTTTTTATCCTCTGGATTTGGTTGTGTAATTTTAAATTTGATTTGACAGTGTTCAAAAAATATGAACAGACAATCAATATTTCAAATGCTCAAACAAAACTTTGAAGTTTTGATAGAGACACACAGAGCCTACTAAGAAAATGATGTTGGATTTTCTTGGGTATCGAATCTGTTTTCTTATTATATTCTTCGTATGAGTCAGCATGCAACAGGCTAAAAATTAAATTTTCAAATAAGTGATTTTACTGCTCCCTGTTGAGTCCCTCTGTTACTTGTTTCTTTCAGCACCTCTGTTGCTCTCTCTCTCTCTCTCTCTCTCTCTCTCTCTGAAACGTATGAATGCGCTGCCCACTCACAGTGCAGCTGACGTCATCTTGTTTCCTGGAATTGAACACCAGCAGGGAAATGTAAATGCTGAACAGAAAATAAGATGTACATTGACGTCAGTTCAGAGTCATGCTGCGAATACAAGCAGCTCCTTTTTTGCGAGAGCAAGACTTCTAAATTAATCATCTTTTAGACTGTGCCACAGTCTCCAAGGAGACGACAAGATGTGTCGTTTATTTTGCTTTTTTAATTGTTCATTGTTCAATTCAAATTTATTTGTTCAGCGCTTTTCACAATACATATTGTTTCAAAGCTGCTTTAAAAGTGCATTTCAGAAATGTACACCGCTTTGTAAATTTATTTAATTGGTTTCAATGAAGAGAGATCAAAAAGTAAGAACTTTCTGTCATGCAAGTCTCCCATGTGACCTGCTGCTTGGTGTGATATGTGACTGTGACCACATAGTTTTGCGGCTTTTAGTGGAAATTGATTCACTCTGCTTTCAAAAGAGCGTGATGGGTGCATGTTGCAATATGCACCACAGATATGTAGGAGACTTTACTGGTGTGAAATCCAGTTTATAACCTCACCATGAGTAGATCTGTTTACAGTCTAACACTGTGACATACTCAGCGGCAACACAATGTGTTTGCTGATCTCTAGTGGGTATTAATTCAATGCCTGTGGACCTTTGATTCTGTTGATCCTCAGACCTGTTTAGTAGCATGGTGATATTCATGGACTCATGCTATCAGGCTCTATTGTAGAAATTCTCAATACGAGTACAACCTACTAAATCTGACTTCTTCACCACGGACAATTTAAACAACTTTCATTTGTTAATAATAATAATAACTGAAGATAATTCCCTGAATACTTACAATCCAATCCAATACTTCCCTGAAGGATGGTGACAGCATCTTTAGCATCTATACACTCCGTCCTTCTCAGGTGTCTGACACAGGATCATTTAATGCTAAGAGTATTACAGCCTCACCCTGAGGTCGGCTCTATAATCTTTTAGAATATACTTGCCATGACTCCCAAGTTGCTCTTTGCAGGAATGAAGTTTAATTCACAGTCAGATCACTGTGTCACAACAACCAAGTGAGTCTCCTGGACCTGAATAGAAAGATACATACATTTAAATCATACATTTGAGTAAAAATCAATGTCACTCAAGTCTTCTTCACTGTGATTTGTGACAGTAATTGGTTTGTAATGATCTAAAATAATCATATAATCATATAGAGTCAGTATAATCTATATAAATGATAATAAGATATATAAATTATATCTATTTATGCTTAAAGTTATGCATGTAAGAATATGGAGATGTGTTTGCATTCATTCTTTCTATTTTAAATTTGAGACAAGTACCATGACAAATATATTCAATTTCAAATTAACCACTGATTGTTTTATCATGGAGATTAGCAATTGCAACTCTCTCAACCACAATGACATCTAAATGTCACCACTGGTATGCTAGTAATAATAATAATAATAATAATTCGTTACATTTATATAGCGCTTTTCTGGAAACTCAAAGCGCTTCACATAGAGAGGGGAATCTCCTCAACCACCACCAATGTGCAGCATCCACCTGGATGATGCGACGGCAGCCATATTGCGCCAGAACGCTCACCACACACCAGCTTACTGGTGGAGAGGAGACAGTGATGAAGCCAATTGGTGTATATGGGGATGATTAGGAGGCCATGATGGACAGAGGCTACTGGGCAAATTTGGCCAGGATGCCGGGGTTACACCCCTACTCTTTCGAAAGACATCCTGGGATTTTTTATGACCACAGAGAGTCAAGACCTCGGTTTAACGTCTCATCCGAAGGACGGTGCTCTTTTTTGACAGCATAGTGTCCCCATCACTTTACTGGGGCGTTAGGACCCACACAGACCACAGGGTGAGCACCCCCTGCTGGCCTCACTAACACCTCTACCAGCAGCAACCTGGCTTTCTCAGAAGGTCTCCCATCCAGGTACTAACCAGGCTCAGCCCTGCTTAGCTTCAGTGGGCAACCAGTCTTGGGCTACAGGGTGATATGGCTGCTGCTAGTAGAGTTTGTCTTGATAATATCCACCCTCTAGCTGTCATAGGGATAAAGTCATTAATCTCTGCTCGACCTAATTGACGTGTTTGTTGCAAACCATCAGGGGTCCCACTCATCCTGGTAAACCTTGAATTTTATAATTTTTTAGAGAAGAGGAAACTTACCTAGAATAAATGTCCTGGAAATGAATTAGTTGTTTTTGTTGAAAGTTTAACTTTGCTAAAGTTTCTTTTCAGATTTATTTATTTTTGTATTGCATACACAGTGCTTTTGTATAAAAACAATAACTCACTCATTATCTTGGTTATAAAGTGGGCACAAAAAAGCTTTAGAACACTTCTTTTTGTGAAATATTTTGTTTGAAATCTTGAATTAAAATGGTTTACAAATGTTTCATATTTTGCCTAATATGCTTATGTGTTCATAGCGTGCCATTAGTGTCCAAATGAAGAGTTCAGATGCAAAAGCCTCTAAATGCCATTTGAAATTTTCTTCTTTAATGATGATTTTTTTATCAAACTTGTATATTTAAGTTGAGTAATTTCACTTAAATAACAATTAATAGGTAATTATCATTGCCATTTAAGTGAAATTATTGAACTTAAATATAAAAGTTTGATAAAAATCATCATTAAAGAAGAAAATTTTAAATGGCATTTAGAGGCTTTTGCATCTGAACTCTTCAAATTACACTCTGAGACCTCTGTATATAACCAGAATAGCAGTAATGCCCAGCACAGCCATAACAATAACCACAACAATGTACTGTTATTGCTTAAATAAACAATAAAGGTGACCTGGGACCAATGTGTGAGAGAGATTTGGGTCATATGTTGTAAATAGTTATATTCATTTGTAAAGAAAACATACAGTTTATTTATTATTATAAATATGAAAATGAAATATCATTTTTGTGCCTAATAAAAATATTAGCAGGGTCATAAACTCACTTGCCAGCAAATAAAAATATTCTTGTTTGTGACAACATGTCAAGTAAATGTTTTCTAATAAAAATCTTTGAAAAGACCTGTTCCTCTATAAACAGATGTGTGTGTGTGTTTTACAGCCACTCCTGGAGGTATGTCTGCATATCAGGTTTCCTCTCCGGTGTCTGGTCTTTCCCAGGTGAATGACAGCTCATCCGGGTCTCTTCCCAGCCCTCAGCAGCTGGCTGAGGACGTGTCACGCAAGAGGGAACACCGGCTGATGAAAAACAGGTAATGCCCAGGCATCCTTCCCCATTCCAGGAGAACCACCACTGTTTTCTGAGCATGAAATCATTATATCAGCCTATTCTTTTTGCATGATTTTAGAAGCAGCTTTTCTGTCTTGGTGTGTTGGTTGGTCTTTCCATCAGCTCTTTCTGCATCTGAGGCCTCACAAGTTCTTCTGTTGCATCCATTGGCCTGCTTTCAGCTTTCATGCTTGTTTCAGCTTGGGTTTGAAAGTGATGTCTCGGTGTGTGGAGCATGTGCTAAAGGCCTTTGTTGTTGAATGGCAATGCATTTAATGGAATCATTTGCGCTGCCCATGCACGTATTGTATACCAGTACTCACAACTCAAGCTTTCCTGGTTTGGACTTAATTTGCGTTTCCATGCTTGCCATGATGATATTCTGCATTTCTGACTTGCATGAAGTGGGACCTGTAAACAAAATGTAAGATTTACAGGATTCATGCTCACAGAGCCTCTCTGTTGTTGCTTCCAGGGAAGCTGCCCGGGAATGCCGGCGGAAGAAGAAAGAATATGTCAAATGTCTCGAGAACCGAGTTGCCGTGCTTGAAAAACAAAACAAGATGCTCATTGAAGAACTCAAGGCTCTTAAAGACCTATACTGTCACAAAACCGAATAACAGTCCATTGCAAGCCGAACACTAAAGACTATGTCGTTTACAGAGCTGCAACAAATTGGCAAACGTGCTTTTCACACAGTGTCTAGACAGACACCGCTCGTAATATTCGATAAGATGACAGCTGCATGGTTGTGTTGTCCCGCGTGCGAAAGATGGTGACGTGTGCATGTGTTTGCTGGAGGCCCGAGGCGGCTCCAGAGACAGTCAATGTGGTGTGTTGCCCGTGTTGCTTGTGCTTTTTGCAGGAGGGCGGCCAAAGAGTACAGGCGCAGGCAGAAGGAATATGTGCGGAGCTTAGAGTCACGCATCGCCATGATGGAGAACCAGAATCAGAAAATGACGGAAGAGCTGGACAGTCTAAAGGAATTATACTCTGGGAAGTCTCATTCATCTTAGTGGCATACTACTGCTGCTATCTGTTTGTTTTCGGTTCCTGTTTTACTGTATAATATTGTTGTCATATGTGTGTTTTCTATCTTTTGTGAAAATTGAACAGCAGACCAGCACTGCCTATGCTCATTAGGCTTTTTAAAAAAAAATTATATTGATATTGTAAATTATATATTTCAAATGTTTCAAATCTACTTTAAGATACTTTTTTTTTCATTCACAAATACTCCAGTTCCAAAATGATTATAGCTAGTGTATACTTGCTGTAATAAATGTAATAAAAATAGATATGTTGCTTAGATAAACTGATGAGTTTTTGTGTTTATTGCTGCTTATGGCATTTTAATAAAGTTCAGTCACTTTTAAAAACAACGTAACTAAATAAATCAAATACTTAAAACGATTAAAGATTGTTTGTAACAAGTAGAGTAGATCAGCACAGGTTTATCTGTTTTTCTGTCCGAAATATATATGGTACTTAGTTTTTGTTTAAATGATTTATCCCTGTAACAATTTCTTCCCCCAATACTGAATTACTTTGCTTGCTTTCAAGATATTTCTGGAATGATGTCAAATTAGTTGTTACCGCCTGAAATCACATAACCTACCTACTGCTCACGGTCTAATTTGAATTGAAGAAGTAAGATTAATTACTACTGCAAAACATTGCTGAATCCAAACCCACTACTTTTACTTTGTGGAGACACTCCTACTGACGAGCTGTCACAGTCGGTTCCTACTCTACCGCGCATGCGCAGTATTGCCAGCAGGGCGGATCAACGGTCCCAGTCCCACTCCCTCAAGTACGGATCAAAACAGTCCAACTACGGCTTGCATTTAGGGTCTGGGGACTCGGTTGTTCTTCTAAACATTTATAACAGCCAGCCTCACATCGTCGAGGAGGTTGAGACACAAGGAAAGAGAAACCAGACTAAACCAAAAACTATTAACTCTGTAACGTTACACAGTCAGACACCAACAACCCCGAGGTAAGTTGAGCTATTCAGGCTATTTTCATGGCTCAAAATCGAGATCCTCTTGGTACAGTATTGTAGTGAGCGCAATTATTTCCGTAGCAACATGAGTATTGCATAATGTAAGAAGAGACGTCATTGTAAACATAAATGTGTCTCTAGCTGATCCATATCTAGCTAACGTTATACCGTATGTAGCAAAATCAAAACTGCTTTAGTGTAACGTTACATTAGTTTAATAGATGAGGAACGTTAGCGCAGTAACGTTAACCTTTTTTATTATTATCTGGCACCTTTTTTTATTCATGCTCTAATTTTATTCTAGTTTTAGTTATTTTAGATCAATTATGTATTTTTACATGAAGATAATCAAACTTTAGTTCATTTAGTAGCGTAGTCGACATCACTTCATGAAAATCAGCAAATAGCTGAAATAAAATATGTTTCTTGTTTTTAATATTTTATTTTAATATTTAATTTCAAGTAACAATGCCTAAAGCTATTTGTGAGAAGTACGTTAAGTTACTTTGGAGTTCATTTTGGCTAGTACATACCATGGTATAATGTTACCTATTTAGTGTTAGAAAACATGGTATATTGCGATCTGGTACCCTACTGTAGTTTACTGTAAGGATAAATACATTTTATCACTTAATGAGCATCTATTAAAAGTCGTGAACATCAATGATCTGTGATGAGATCTGACATGAGATGACTGATTGCTCAAATTTTCCATTCAAGAGCCTCCATTGCTCCTCACACACCTCCTCTCATGCTTAAAGAGATAGTTTCTATATCTATAACACTTTATATTATAGATATATTGTGATATTTGGTTACCACAATAAGTTGGGTTATGTCATGTGTGACTAGTAATGTTAGAGTGCAAATGAGATGTTATGACCTCAATCAAAGTATGCTAGCAGAGAGAATGCAAACTACCACTATCAGTTCAAATTAAACATCTATTTACAACTAAACAACAACAGCAACACTGAATGCATCCTTTATTGATTCTAAACTATATTCACATTGTCATTATTTTGCTACATAACCAGTTGGATTATAAAAGAATGTGTTCTGACAAGTCAGATTCATTCAAACAAACACGTGGCATCAGCATGGGAAACTAAAACTGCACTTATACTCAAGCCAGAGTTTCAGACTCATTATCCAACCCCTGTACATGTCTAGGTGCTAAAAACTAGCCTCAAAACATTAAGGAGGCTTAAATGATGTTTGACCTTATACATATTGCTTTTTGGCCTATTTATGTAGTGGTTATAGAGGCAACATCATGTTATAGAGCACAAAGGGAAATACAGAAACCACTGGAATGTTCCTAATTTGACTTTTTGCCAGTTTTGTGGCTTGAACATCCTTTTTATCACACATGCTTTCAGTTCCCATGGCACATTCATCAAGTCCTATGGCAACTCAGTGTGTGTCCAAGGTGGAGCTGACGGTCTCCTGTGACAACCTGCTGGATATGGATGTGGGGTCCAAATCCGACCCGCTGTGTGTCCTGCTCAATGCATCTGGAAACCAGTGGTTTGAAGTCAGTCGACTTGTTGTGCAAATTGTTCAAATGTCTATATTTAATGAATATTTAAAAATATAACATGTTTTTGTTTCCGTAGGTCGCTAGAACTGAGAGGATTAACAACTGCCTGAACCCAAAATTTGCCAAGAAGTTTGTCGTTGATTACTACTTTGAGATCGTTCAGAAACTCAAATTTGCAGTTTATGATATTGATAATAAAACCATCGATTTAAGTGATGACGACTTCCTGGGCGAGTTTGAGTGCTCGTTGGGTCAGGTAAGACATCCAAGCATTCATGTTTTAATTATTTTTTAACATTATCTAATGTGTTTTTCCCCCTTTTTTTCAATTTTTGTACAGATTGTTTCCAGTTGCAAGCTGACGAGACCTTTGGTGCTGAAGAACAAAAAACCTGCTGGAAAGGGAACAATTACGGTGAATGTCCTTGATATTTAACATCATATTAGTTTTACAGGATTCTTTAATAAATAGAAAGTTCAAAAGAAATCAAGCTTAGCATAAAAAGTATTAATTAAAAAAATGTGCTGACCTTTTGAATGGTACTTTATGGATTTGTCCATATGATCACCATCGTGTTGTAACAGCAAATATTTGATCACATTAGATCAGTGCAGAGGAAATCAAGGACAACAGAGTTGTGAATTTTGAGGTGGAGGCCAGAAAATTAGACAAAAAGGTAAGACGTGAGTTTGTGAATTCTCTTTACTTTTAAATGATAAAATGATTTCGATGTCTAAATGTGGGATTTGTTGCAGGATTTCCTTGGAAAATCAGACCCGTACCTGGAATTTTACAGGCAGACGGAAACAGGCTGGCAGCTTGCTCACAGAACTGAGGTGCATTGTGTGTTGTGTGTTTGTATGTAGATGTACACAAAATAATCGGTCAGGATAACTATCCTATGTCTGCAGTGCAGGCTGATAGTCATGTTTGTTACTTATTTTTCCTGGTGAAAGTGTCTTGCCTCAGGCTATAATGCAAATCGATTTTTCAAATTTGCAGATTCATCTATGGTAGCTTAATATTATAATATTGACGACATGGCTATTATCTACCAACAAACATTTAATTGAATTAGCATATCCATTAGGTAAAACAGTAACCAATAGGTTAACGTTACTATAAAGACGCTGGCTTGTAGACGTGAGCTACGCAATCTTTTGACGTTTGAAAAAAAATAAAGCCCCTGACACTATATTCATAAGACATGCTGAAATATATGCCAATGTACCTGGGATGAAGACATTTCACACGCAACACTGGAGTCTGCCCAAGATGTGTGAACTCCTTCGTTCTGCAGAGTTCGTGGGTATCGCTTGTCAACAAATGCACGCGTGTATTCCCTAGTAGTGTAACCATGACAGATTTTACAACAGTAGTAGAAGACAATACTGTTTTCCAACTGTAGAGGGACCCTGAGAGCAAAATTTCAAAAATAACATAATGCTGCTTTAATAAATCAGTTTGAGATGCATTATTTTTGCTAAATTACTAATTTAAATTTTTCTCCGATATTTTGGTTTATTTCCAGATTCTTACGTACTAGGGCACGCACGCACATGCACACTCTTAAAAACGGTGCTTTAAATCTCTTGACAAACTAAAAAATGTAAATAAAAATTGCATGTATTTGAAATGAAATGTATAGATTGCACTGAATGTCAGCTTGCTTATTTTTTTCCAAGATAAGGATTTAAGTCAATGCAACAAAACCACGGGTCGAAAGCTGTCGTCACAACCACACAACTTTGTGATGCTGCTTGCGAATGTACATTGGAACTATGGTTTCTGGAAACACTGACTCGTTTCAACGTTGCTTGCGACCATAGTTGGCTAATGATGTTTTGAGGAAACACACCCCAGAGCATTACTGACAGACTGGGAAAAGAGGTGCTGCAACAATGTCAAATATGTGAAAAAGAATGAGGTTTTGAACATTCAAGCATGAAAACCTATTCTAGTAGACCACAAAATAAAATCAACACTTTGAAAGAGGCATAATCAGTTCAAAGTCCTTGAATGGTTGTTGTTAATGTTTATTGCGAGTGTTTATGGTTCTCTTTCATACCAGGTGGTGAAGTATAACTTGAATCCTTGCTGGAGGCCTTTTAAAGTCCCTCTACGGTCTCTTTGTGCCGGGGACATGGAGAAACCAATCAAGGTAGAGTCTGCGTTTATTGGTAAATATTTTTTAATGTCAAAAAGGCTCCCTGTTGCTAACACTAGTGTCATATGAAATGCTGGCCTCTTAGATGAATATTCTGTAATTGTTCTGGCTTAATTGCACAGGCTGTACAACTCTGGCTTTGCTTTGGCTTGTCAGACAGAGGGTTTTTTGGTGGCTTACAATCAGTGTTTTTGATTTTTCTTGCAAAAGCGTCTTAATGGGAAACTCACTGTCAGGATACAAGAAGGTATTTTTCATCAGAATGTCTGATTCATAAATGTGTGTGTCTCTGAATAGCTGCTAGTGTGTCTTTCATAGATCAGTAGAAGGGAGCTATCCTGTCAAACTGTTGTTTCCTGAATGAGGTCATTTCATGTGGGAACTCTTTATCTACTAGTGGAAACAATGGCATTTGTATCGGAAAATTTTAAACAAAATTTGACTTACATTTTCATTTGAAAGGTTTATGCTGAACTTAAAGAAACACAACCAATTAACATTTATGCTATGGAATAAAAAAGGTAATTGCGACTTTTAAAAAAAGTCAAAATTGTGAGATATGAAGTCGCAATTATGAGTTATAAAGTCAAAATTGCAAGATATAAACTCCCAATTATGTTTTTTCTCACAATTTTGAGTTTGAAAAACTTCAGAATTCAGAATTACCTTTTTTAGTTTTTTATTCCCTGCTGAAAACAAGCGTCCATAATACCCAAATGGTTCAAATAAGATAAAATAAGAATAAAAGGTGAATTAATAGGACTGAAGTGAAGCGAAGGCCAAATATCGCAACCCATACTCGGAATTTGTCCTCTGTGTTTAACCTGTCCATGTTAGTGCACACACATTGAGTATTGAACACATACACACACACTGCAAACCATGGACACAGTATTTAGAATCAAACCCGCAACCTTCGAGTAACAAGTCTGACTCTCTAACTATCAGGCCACAGCAGTAAAATAACCGACAGAAAGTGGAGGGTCAAAGACAATTTTTCTGGATATGTTTAAGTCATTGAAAAAAGTACATGAACAGGAAAAGCATTTTAGTATAATTTCGGTCAAATTCATTTATTTATTATAACTGTGATGAATGGGATATGTGAATTTGTTGATAGAAAAACTAAATTAATTAAATAGAATCTATAAATATATTGAATATATGAAATTATATTATTATAATAATACTAATAGTTTGCAAAAATAAATTGTGTATAATTATATTTATTTAAATGTTATATTTGACTAATTTTGCATTACACCTTAAACAGTTACTGTAAATTGAAATTCAAATGATATAACTGCATTCACAATACTGTTAATTACTGTATAGCAAGTCAGGTACAAATTAGGCAATTTCCTCAGAAAGACTCGCTGTTCTAGAAAAGGATTCAGAGAAAACTGCTGCTTTTTGTAATCTTATGTAGACAACAGTGGAGATGGCCGTCTATAACATCTTTCATACATTTATTCACTTAGGCCCTGTTTACACCTGGGATTAGTGTTGGTCGATCAGATCACAAGTGGACGAGGGGGCGATATCGACTTCAAACCAAATTTGGGTCTTCGGCTGACAAAGTTTAAATCCTGTCTGGCTATTGCGTTACCCACAATGTTTACCCGTCAGGTCAGTAGGCGGAGAGTAGGTGGTATTTTGTGTCGGTTTGAACGCATTTGACCACATGATCGTTTTCCCTTCGTAAGCAATCTGACTTTTCGCTCAAAACGTTTTAAACCCCATCTACACCCATATTCAGCGTCGTCTACTTGTGATCCGATTGCCCAGAACACATCTTAATACCAGATTTAAGCAGGGTCATCGAGCTAACCTGTTTGGTGTGCTGTTTTGCTGGTGTCTTTTTGAAAATGAAGAGAAGTGAGCGACCCATAGATCTGTGCTCATCTATGGTTCTTCATTTAGTGGGCTTTTTTGCATGACCTCTCTCAATTCAATTCCCTTCTCTTTTATTCTCCAATATCATTCACCTAAAATCATGCTGTATTTTTCAACCCCCTTTTTAGGTTGAATGTTACGATTATGACAACGATGGATCTCATGATTTGATAGGGATTTTTGAGACCAATATGAAGCGTCTTCAAGGGGCCACCCGCACAGCTCCGGTGGGTCATCCTGAACACACTTTTGATTTCCGTACCCGATGAATGTGTGAAGGTTTCTGAACTTTGTCTCCCGCAGGCCGAGTTTGACTGTATAAACAGTAAGAAGAAACAGAAGAAGAAGAATTATAAGAACTCTGGAGTTGTGAGTGTGAAAGTTTGTCAGGTATGGTGACATTTCAAGCATACTCGTCTGATTTCATTTTAAACATTTCGTACATGACATTATACTGCAGAACGCTTCTGGACATGTTTGTTTGATGTCTCAGATTACCAAGGAATACACCTTTCTAGATTACATCATGGGAGGCTGCCAGATAAATTTCATTGTAAGTTCTACATCAGTTCTACAGAAAGTATAACTTTAGCTATTAACATCTGTATGTTGCTTTATTTTCATATAAATATGAGAAATGTATTTTCCAATTAAAATGTTGGAACAATATAAATGTGTTATTTATTATGAAAACAACATTAATAATAATAATAATTCATTACATTTATATAGTGCTTTTCTCGACACTCAAAGCGCTTTACATAGAGAGGAGAGGGGAATCTCCTCAACCACCATCAGTCTAAATTACCAATTACCAATAACCACCAATAATACTAAATTACTCAAATAAAAGACATTTGACATTTTTTATATTTTATTTAGTATTGTTTATCATATATATATATATATATATATATATATATATATATATATATATATATAAAGACAAACTTTTGCATAGAATTATATTTGTTTGTATTATGTCTCTATGAATTATATTCCGTCATGTTGAGCTATATTATAAAATTATTATATATATATATATATATATATATATATATGATAAAAACTGTATAAATGATAAAAACAGTAATACTACTAAATGACTAAAATAAAATATATTTGACAGTTTTTTATATTTTTATTTTATTTCATATTTATAAAAAGGCAAACATTTGCATAGAATTATATTTGTTTGTATTAGGTCTCTATGAATTATATTCCTTCATGTTGAGCTATATTATAAAAATTATTAAAAAAAAGAAAAAAAATACAGGATATATGATTAAAAACTGTATAAATTATAAAAACAGTAATACTACTAAATGACTAAAATAAAATATATTTGACATTTTATATTTTTATTTTATTTATCATATATATATATATATAAAAAAAATGCATACAATTATAGTTGCATGAATTATGTCTCTATGAATTATATTCCTTTATGTTGGAGCTACATATTATAAATATGATTTTCTTTTAATTATATATATATATATATATATATATATATGATAACTCTATACATTATAAAAACAGTAATAATACTAAATTTAAATATAAATACTTCTTTATTTGTTATTTATTGTATTTTTGATGTACAAAAAGACAGGATTTTTTGCGAAGACTTATATTTGTATGTACTATATCTTGATGAATTCTATTCCTTGATGTTGAGCGAGGTTACTCGTGTCATACCCATGTGGTTCACATCTCCTCCAGGTGGGCATTGACTTCACAGGGTCAAATGGTGACCCCAGGTTTCCTGATTCTTTACATCACATCAGTCCTCAAGGTGTGAATGAATATCTCTCAGCCATCTGGTCAGTTGGCCTGGTGGTCCAGGACTATGACAGGTACAAGGCCGTCAGTTAAATATTTTAATTCACCATACATTAAAATCAACAACATATGCCTCATGCTTTTTTTTCATATCCTATAGTGACAAAATGTTTCCTGCTTTTGGATTTGGCGCCCAAATTCCTCCTACATGGCAGGTAAATGAAAGTACTGTACATCTGCTGTTATTACTGTGACAAACTCCCAGAAGCCTCAGTTTAGTATTGTTTTTTCCCCCAGGTGTCGCACGAGTTTCCTCTCAACTTCAATCCTGCAAATCCATTCTGTGCAGGTATGTTACAGTAACAAAATCAGTTTTCAACCCTCTGGAGGACCAAGAAAGCGATTGACATAACAAGAAATGGCGTGTGTGATCTGTTCCCGTAGGTGTGGAGGGAGTGGTGGAGGCCTACAGGATGTGCCTACCTCAGGTCAAACTTTACGGCCCTACGAACTTCTCTCCGATTATTAACCACGTGGCTCGTTTCGCACAGCAGGCTTTACAGCAGAAGACGGCGTCGGTGAGCTTCAAGCCAAACTCAAACGTGTGATCCGCTGGTTCTTTGATGCCTCTCTGACTCCGCCCCCTGTCCGTTTCAGCAATACTACGTCCTGCTGATCATCACGGATGGAGTGATCACAGACATGGATCAGACGCGCACGGCCATAGTCGCCGCCTCACGCTTGCCCATGTCGATCATCATCGTGGGCGTAGGCAAAGCCGACTTCACGGACATGGAGATTCTGGACGGAGATGACGGACGCCTGAAGTCGATCACGGGAGAAGCGGCTGTGCGTGACATCGTGCAGTTTGTGCCCTTCAGGAATTTCCAGAACGTGAGTGGAAAACTGGTTTGAGGAGATTTGTGCACAAACTATTTTGCGCTAGCTTTGCTTTGTTTCGCTTTTTTTCTTTTGGGGTCAAACTCAAGCAGCTTTTGGTGTTTTCTTAGGGATTCTTTTTCAGATCTACACTACCGTTCAAAGGTTTCTGGTTCGTAAAATGCTCTTATGCAAGCCGGCATTTATTTGATAAAAATTCAGTAGAACAGTGTTATTATGAAATTTATTGTAATATAAAATAACTGTTTTCTATTTGATTATATTTTAAAGTGTAATTGATTCCTGTGATGCAAAGCTGAATTTCAGCATCATCACTTCAGTCTTCAGTGTCACATGATCCTTTAGAAATCATTCTAATATGATGATTTGATGCTCAAGAAACATTTCTTAATTAGCTTGTCTGAAACAGTTGTGTTTTTGTAACATAAATGTTTTTTTGTTACTTTTGATAAATTTGATGCATCCGTGCTGAATAAAAGTTTTTTTTTTTTATATATAAATCTTACTGGCTTCAAACTTTTTTTTTTATTTTGAACGGTAGTGTACATTATTATGTTTTTGGCTGCATAGGATTTTTAACATTGTTGAAAATGAACTAATTGGAGTATTATTTCATCTTTAGCAGTGATACTCCAATAATGTTTATATGTTCATTTTCGTGATCTAAACATATAAAAATATAAACGTGATATATGCTTATTTCCAACATTTTTTATTTATTTTATTTTTTTTGCTTATTCATGGTGGTCATCGCAAGGAATATATCAATTCAGGTTCTAGATAAATTCAGCAATTATGGGTTTTTAATGATTCATGTTTGGGGAAAAATTTCAATTCAGTTGTCAAGTGATTCGATAATTTTCTATAAAGTTAATAAATATGAAATAGTTCTTGCAAAAGGTATATATTTTAGAAGTTGCATATTTAAAAACAGCAGAAACAAACAAAAGATGTAACATTTCATTTATCAATTTATTTTTATAAAATATGTGTCTAAAAGATGAACTAGCTAAAGTGTTGCGCTGTGTGTCTTTGATTCATTTGGCTTATAAAAATCACTCGTTCAGGAAGTAGACTGCATTCATTGGCGATCAGTCCAAAATCGGTGGATAATGTCGAAGAACATTAATGGAACCAACCGTCTTTCATAATTCTTTATACCAGTAGACACTGAGCAGAGCAGAACTCAAGACAAAGTAGTGTTTTAGTCCCTTAAAGGAATAGTTCACTTTTAAGAAAACTTTTGCTGATAATTTACTCATCCCCATGTCATCCAAGATGTCCATGTCTTTCTTCAGTCGTAAAGAAATTAAGGTTTTTGATGAAAACATTCCAGGATTTTTCTCCATATAATGGACTTTAATGGGAACCAAACGGTTCAAGGGCCAAAAGACACTTTCAGTACAAACTGCAAACTGTTTAAAGGACTTTAAACGATTCCAGACGATGAATAAGGGTCTTATCAAGTGAAACGATCACTCATTTAAAAACAAACAAAAAAGTTTAAGTGACTCGTTCGTGACTCTCCTGTTCGAACTCGTTTATCAAAATAAACAAATCTTTTTTCATGTCATTTGGTTCATTCAACGAACGAAATGAACGAATTGACTCCAGAAAAGATTTGTTCATTTTGATGAACGAGTTCGAACAGGAGAGTCACAAACGAGCATCACAGAACAGCGCAAGGCGACCATTTGAGCTTATAAAACAAACTTTTTTTTTTTTAAAATGAGCGATCGTTTCGCTTGGTAAGACCCTTATTCATCGTCTTGAATCGTTTAAAGCCCTTTGAACAGTTTGCACTGAAACTGTCTTTTGGACCTTGAACCGTTTGGTTCCCATTGAAGTGCATTATATGGAGAAAAATCCTGTAATGTTTTCATCAAAAACCTTAATTTCTTTGCGACTGAAGAAAGAATGACATGGACATCTTGGATGACATGGGGGTGAGTAAATTATCAGCAAAAGTTTTATAAAGTGAACTACTCCTTTAATACCTATAGCATGTAATGGCTTGTAGCGTCTCACCTGTACCTTTGTGTCCATTTCATTTCAGGCCTCAAGGGAAATGCTTGCCCAATCTGTACTTGCAGAATTACCACAACAAGTCACATCCTACTTCAGCTATATAAACCTGCCGCCTCCACACGAGCCAATAAACCCATAGACATGTAGGGCTCTCTTCTTTATCTGCACCTGACCTCTGCCATGCACCTCTCTGTGTGAATGTTTTTAATGCACACCAGCACTCCTCAAAGCATTCGGCTGTCAGACAGGATGTTGTATTTTCTCAAACTCATCTGTGTTATTGAAAGTAGCCATCATTGTTGCAGGATTAGTGGTCACGGATGCCATATTTGTCCTGAAACGGCATCACAAAGGACGGACGTTGAAAGATAGTGAAATGCAAGGCATGGGGGGTTTCTAAAGCTTGATGAATTTATGTCGTATTACAAATGTGGAAGTATTAGTTTCTATAGACACAGCTCACGTCTGTCTGTTTGGCTGCCCTTACTTTGTTAGCTAAACTTTACTTTGGTTTTGGACCTATTGGATTAATACTATTGCACATTCATTGGTTTAATACTATTACTTTGAGTTAGGGAGTAATCCCTAACCAGTGTTATTATTGGTAAAAAGTTAAGCAATATCCATTAGCATGACAAACAGGTTCATTTCATCATGACATGACTGCTGCATAAGGTTATTTATGTTGTCTGGCCTTTCTTGTTACCATCTCAAACCATACTCTGCTGCTCATAAAAGGAAAATACCATGACTAATGTTTCTCTCCCCTCTCTCTCTCTGTAGTCTCCCAGAGAGGAGCTCGCTAAGTGTGTTCTGGCTGAGGTTCCTGGTCAGGTCGTCACCTTTTTTAACATGATGAAGATTCTACCTCCGAACTCAAACACCCAAGTGGATGCTCCAAATTAGCCGACACACTGAAGGTCATGTTGCCAACAACTAAACATCATCATCATCACCATAATGTTAACCTAACTTTAGGCTTTCTTGAAGAGATTTACCACTTGGTTTGAAAATCAGTTTTAAATTAGTTTTTTTTAACAAAATCGTTGTATATTTATTTGTTTTCATGTGCCAAATTATCTTGAAATGGTCTATTATTTTTGTTTGTAAAACTAATTATCTTACTATAAATGAAAACTATCAGTTACTGGAAAACTCCCTTAAAATTAGGGAAAATAATTGTTAGTGTTGGTGGGATAACCAAATACAGCGGCGATACGCAGGCATTTTAAAGTTTATTTCCAGTCATTCCTGCTAACTATATAACAATATAGTTTACAGTCAGCATTATTATGTCTTTAAATTTGTCATTTTTCATTATCATGTACTTTATCATATTTTTTTATATTTGTACAGGATTTTTTAATCAGTGCCTCGCAAAGCTTATGCATAATGTCATATTGGTCATGCTAATGTATCAATATGACATTGCATTAATCATGCAGTGTATATAACGTATAATGTGCCTGATCATTTAAGTTGCAGTGCCTATACAAAAAAATGGAGATTATATGGCAGCTTACATGCCAAGTTTGACTGTTGACCAGAATGCACTTAAAACTTTAGACACAGAGTAATGGTGATTAAATATAAATCTGCATGTACAGAAAGTTAGAAATACTGACATCTGGATGGGTCAATGATCCTGTCAAGTGCCTGAAAACGTAAGTTTAATAATAATAAATATAGCTGCGAGCTGCAATTATCGGCGTTCAAATGCTTTAAGACCATCTATGCTGTTAGGGTCTAGGCCAACCAGAAATGTAGAGCTGACAGCATGATGACATAAAATATCCATGACGGAGAATATGTTATAACGTATACAAAAAAAGAATGAAAGGCTTGAACAATAATACTTAATACAAGCTTGCTTGGACACACACATTTTGTTGTACATATAGATATTTGAAATAAATCTTAGGCAATTAAAGGTGCATTGCAAATTTCCTCTGTATAACACAATTTTCAGGGTTCACATTAATCATTGTGGCACAATTGTCAAAACTGAGAGCTCAGTACAAATTAAGTGATAAACTCTGACAAAATATGATTATTTGTTGCAGATTTAGATATTTGAAAAAAAAAAGGCTTATTCGACATTTTAATGACGTAATTTTCAGGTCTTGTTGCAATCGTAATGTGGAAATTTTGGAAAAACTACCTTAAATGAACAATTGAAGTGGAAATTTAACTAGTTTAGTGACTAAAATGAGCCAATGATCGGCCCTCTACTGCCATCTGGTGGTTTAATGGCAATTTAAGGGAATATAACACTATAATCAAATAGGAACATTGTAATTTTCATGTTTCAAACTGTTATAGAGGCATATTTTGCTTGATCTGCCTGAAATTTTAAATGCTTGTTTAGAGTCATATGTCACATGAACTTATTTTCAAGAAGAGCTGAGCATTTCTTGAAGAGATATGGGCTTTCAGGGACACTTGGTCAGACACATTTGAAAATGACCTTGTTATAGCCATCCAAATGCAAAAGTTGAACATTATTCAATAATTATTGATCCAGAGAATTGTACTGTATTGGTTTTATTCAGATTGAGCAAAAATCTAGGACTAGTTCGCAAAAGTAGGTTTTTAACATAATCACGAATATTTAATGAATGTTTTGTTTGACAGCGGTGGTTCTTGAAGAAAAGTTGTTCAGTATGAGGAGATCTATCAAATGATATGTATATTGTGTGGATGTGGGAAACACCAGGTGATTACAGACGTATAAAACTCACTAGTGCCAACTAGTGGCCAATTTCTTATTCTCAAAATTCTAATATCCTATCATAGACTGTAAAAAAGATGGACGACGCCCATTCGCTCTCTTCCATTGGTCAGAAGTGAAACCGCCAGTGTCCCGATATGGTAGTGACATCTTGGAACTTGAGTCTGCGCAGTAGCGATTTCGGGACCAGACATGCGCAGTCATGAGCAGGAAATAATGGCCCCGCCCTCACTCTCGCAGAATCTAGAATTTAAATAGTACGATACGATACGATAATTTAAACCTTTGATCCCTGTTGTGCCCCCTATTGGCCAGTCAGGGTCATACCTTGTCCCAAATTGAGGCCTACCATCTGGTCAAGATTCATGTCTCTACGCCTGACGGTTTGGTCTGCACTATCAGTTTTACGGCAGAAGAAGAATAATAAAAATCCTTCCAGTTACAATAGAGTTTCAGCACTATGTGCTTTAACCCCTAATAATAAAAAAATCTGAAACGATAATCAGCTTTTTAACTGTTTAAGATGCAAGTTCATTTTACATTTAATCACAATGTCTGTACCAGTCCATTGTGCGCAATTAGTGCTGAGAGAATTGTATTAGATCATCTTAATTGTATTTAATCAAAGCATTTTTTTGTTCGTCAGATATCTTTGTGTCGGCATTATATAGGCCATCATAATAGTACAATGTAAAGTGTCAACTCAGTGCAAAAAGTGTCATGTGTTTTGCTGATGTACGTGTCTTGCGTCTGTGGGCCTGTAGCATGCCTTGTTCCACATACAGTAAATAAAACTCTGAAAAGCACCATTGTTTTATTTTTTTTTCAATATTATTGAGATGAAAAGGATAAAGAATCAAGTTGACACTAAAATATTACATATTTTTTATTGTTTTATATAAAAAAAACGTTGACCTATTTACAGTATATGAAGGCTCATCCACCATGACTCTGCTTACAGTGTTGAACCGGTTGAGTAATATGTCCAAAATTATAGTTGAAAAGAGTCTGTCACAAAACCTGAAACCACTAACAAAGTCAGTATTTACAGTTTTTTTCAATCATATTTTTGTAGATGTGAATTCAATCACAACCAGCGGTAAAACATCAGAGGAGATGGATGAATGAGAGATGGATGGCTGATCAATAAATTTGATAAAGTAATGGATGGATGGATGCTACTGTATATGGATGAATGAATGGATAGATGAATACATTGATGGATGATGTAATCGACGAGTGGATGGATGGATGTATGAATGAATGATAAAATGGTGGATGGATTGATGGATGATGTCATGGATGGATGAATGATGTAATAGATGAATGGATGAATAAATGATGAAATGGTGGATGGATTGATGGATGATGTAATTGATGAATAGATGAATGATAAAATGGATGGATGGATGTAATTGACAAATGGATGGATGGATGGATGATGAAATGAATAGATGGATGAATGATGAAATTGATAGATGTATCATGTAATAGATAGATAGATAGATAGATAGATAGATAGATAGATAGATAGATAGATAGATAGATAGATAGATAGATAGATAGATAGATAGATAGATAGATAGATAGATAGATAGATAGATAGATAGATAGATAGATGCAATTCATGGATGGATGGATGGATGGATGGATTTCTTATCCGTTTTTTTCTGCTGCTGCTTGAGCCTGCTTTAAAGAGAAACGTTATTCAGATCTCTAAATTATTAGTATGATTTGTAAGAATTGTTGCAGTTTTAATCATTCAAATTCCACGTGCTAAATCCAAACCTTTAGCAAATCCACTGACATACACACACTGCATTATAACTCTGACCAGATCATCACATACCTTGAGTTTCTCCAGAAAACCTCCTTTCCCGAAGCCTCCAAAAGCACGTAACATTTTGGGAGTGGGAGGTTTTGCTCCGAACATAGCCAGTCCTTTCTTCCTTTCTCCTTCATCTTTTACAGGAGCAGTTTTACCTTTGGCCTTCATCAGTTTCCTGAACAGAGAATGAATCATCCCCTATTGTAGCCGTTGCATTTGAAATCTGTTCGTGAAGAAAAGGACTGACTGTGACTCACCGTCCCTTCTTGGCCAGCACCTTCTGAGACTCGGGATAGTGGACCAGGATGTCATTGAGATCTTTCTTATCCAGTACGAAGAGGTTAGCGAATCCATGAGCCGCTACATTTGCTGTCCTTCTGTTGCCTCCATCTTTTGCTGACTGTAAGAGACTGAAAAAATGAATTTCCATTTTTAGAGTCTTGCTTTATCACTTAATCACTGTACACTACCGTATATAGATGTCGTCTGTCCCAGTACCTGATCTCCCCGAACACACAGCCTGCTTTTAATGTCACGAACACAATCTTATTGTCCGGCCCACCGATGACCTGCACCGCTCCGGCCTTAATAATGTACATTTCTCTCCCAATGTCACCCTACAGCAATGGAGAACATATGCCCATGAAGTAAGGAATAATTGACGACGTTGAAATAGTTGAAAAATCACGACGCAAAGCATTATTTTTCGAATAATTCATCCGCCCGGAGTCAATTCTGCTATTACGGTTAACTACTATATGGAACTGTAATGCGGTCAAACTTGCCTGGAACTACTTTAACCATACGTTTCCCTGAAAATAATTGCACAGCTCAAGCGTTCATCAGCCCCGTAATATAAAACATAATATCAGATACAAGAACGATTATATCTGATGTTCTCACCTTCTTGCACACAAAGTCTCCTGGCAGGTACACAATGGATTTCAGACGTAATAACATGTCCACAAGCATCTGGTTGTCACAGCCCTGGAAAAATATGTTTAAAACAGCAAAAACGATTTTTTTATCAAAATGCAGCAGAATAGAAACTGCTGGCAGCAGTAGGAAGCAATAGTTTTTTTTTCCTTCCACAAATCTTCAGTATAGAGCCTCAACAGATGAATGCAGTCTTTACCTTGAAGAGGTCGATCTTCTGGAAGGTGGCGAGGTTGATATCCACAGCGATGGCTGTTCTCATCACCAGAGGCATCTGTTCCAGTAGCTCAGACTCATCTGAGGAAACATTGGAGATTTTTGCAGCTGATCCGGAAAAATAGCAACTACCTCCATTAATTGAGATGTACATTAAGCACTTACCCAGCATGCCCTGGGAATCCCAGGTGTAGTTGTACCAGGTGCGTACTCTGTTCTGCACCAGTTTTGGAATGGTGTAGGTGTTCATATACGCCACACAGCAGTCCATGGAAGCGCGGAAGTAGGTCTGACCCGCCGTAGCCGCTCCAATGACATCTCTCATCTGAATTTAAACAGATTTAGATCAGGTAAACAACTTCCAGTCACGTGACGTTATTAATCTGGGTCATCCCCTCTTCTAAGAACGTTTGGCTAAGGTTCCCAATCAGGTCTATGAAAGCTCAAAACGTCCAGTTTTTAAATGTTTTTTTTCTTGGTTATAGGAACGGTATAGGAAATATTTAATTTTATCATTTTGCAAACATGGGAATGTTACTTTCAATGTTATTTGAACATCCTAAAATGAGTAGTAATATAAAAAAGGGTTAGACAAACATATAACCAAAACATTCCAGAAAAAAAAAGGTCAATGTTTTGAGATATAATTAAAGATCAGATAACTTTGAATGAATGTTCTATTAACATTACTGGATGAAGATTTGTTCATAATTTTAAGAGAACCTTGCCAAAACTTTAGGAAAGTTCAAAGTTCTTGCCTGTCCAATCAAGCTAGAGAAGACGAAGACTCCCGTGAAGAAGTTCACCAGCTGGAAGATGATCTCGAAGAGTGTGTGGGGCTCAGGAAGACCTCCGATAGTGATCAGCGTACGCGTAGCAAAATAATAACAGCGGAGATACCTTGGCATAGAAAAATGACAAAATGAACAGTGCAATGTTTATATATATGAAGAGTTCAGATGCAAAAGCCTCTAAGTGCCAGTTGAAATTTTCTTCTAAAATTATCATTTTTATCAAGCTTGTATATTTAAGTTCAGTAATTTCACTTAAATGGCAATGAAGATTATCTATTAATTGTCATTTAAGTGAAATTACTAAACTTAAATATAAAAGCTTGATAAAAATGGTCATTTTAGAAGAAAATTTCAAATGGCATTTAGAGGCTTTTGCATCTGAACTCTTCATATATTAATATTTTATTTTGAATGTATTTAATTGTATTTATTTATTCTGTTTAAAATTATACAAAAACTATATATATATATATATATTATATATATATATATATATATTGTTTTTGTATATATTATATTAAACAGTATATAACATATATATATATATATATAGCATATAACATATGTGTGTATATATATATATATATTAAACAGTATATAAAAATTTAACTTAATATGTAATTTCATTTATTTTTATTTATAAATACTTATTTGGAAATAATGTCAAAAAAAAAAAATGGTCATACGCATTTCCTTTTCCATTATATGTCCATTTCGTGCTGCCCAGCCCCTCGTATTCGGATGCTACATAGTAAAGGCAGGCGTTGATATGGAGGCAGTAGAGCAGATATCCAGTAGTGCGTCCAACTCTGAAAAAAGGCCAGCATCACTATTATTATTATTATTATTATTATTCATACAATCAGGTATAGGTTTGAACACATTAACCCTTGCCATTTGTTCAATACTGTTTTGGTCACTAATGATAATGCTTGGTAAGAGTTGTGCTGTTACTTTTCTTAGTCAGACTTATCAATTTCACCTGGTGGGTGATAAAATGGGGGGATTTGTCCTTACACATATCGGAGGAGGACCCATATCTAGACACCCGAATATCATAGAGACTTGATGGGACAGGATAGTAAGCAACAACATCGCAACACCCTTAAAAAACATTAATTACATATAGAAATCAAATATTTTCAGACATACCTCCAGATATACGCCTTAGTCATGATGCTTTCCAGACGATCGCTGAACTCAAAAAAGGATTGATACTAAAAAAAAAAAAAAGAATATGCACATTATACAGAGCTCATTACACACCACACAGGGGGCCATTTTCCCTGAAGAGATTCGCACTAATGGGAAATCTCTGTCATCATCAAGTCGTTTGGCAACATTAGCTTCAAAATTTGATATGGAAATTCAAGTAATCTGAGGGGGAGGTAGACTATCAGTTGGAATCAGAAACAGCTCATCCCATAGTTTTGGATTCAAAACAGTTACGAAGCTGCTTATTCGACAGAAGGACAGTAACTTCTGGTTCAGAAGGTTTATTTGCAGAGTTGTGGAGGAAATACTGGATCCTCAGAGCTATGAGAAAGGAACAATGCAGCTGTACAGAGTCAGAAATGAGCTCAACCAATATCTCCACGAATAGCAGATTAACCTCCAACACGTTTACACTATAGCCAGCATTCTTCTCTACAGGGATGGATTGTTTCGGGACACTTATTAATTGGGCTGAAGCAATAAGAAAAGATAGGGAACCCTAGTAGCGAGAACCCTTCACTCCCGCAGGCCATGTATCATAAGTGTGTATTACTCAGCCGATGACAATGGAGGACATTGCTGTTTTGGTCACAATTCGTCCCTGGCACTTCAGTTAGATGCGTGGTTTTAGTCTACCAAGGTCATTTCATTAAGTTGACTTGAGGTATTTTGATATGTAAGATGTGTGTGTGGATCAAGTTAACCACACCTTGGCTAGCTCCACATGTTGAGTCATCTCAAATAAAGGCAACTACACTCTCAGAAAAAAGGTACAAAAGCAGTCACTGGGGTTGTACCTTTTCAAAAGGTAAACTTTTGTGCCCAAAGGATGCATATTGGTACCTTAGTGGTATATTAGCACCTAAAATGTACATATTAGTACCTAAAATGGACATATTCGCTCCTGAAATGTACACATTAACACTTAAAATGTACATATTAACACATAAAATGTACTTATTAGCACCTAAAATGTACATAATAAGACCTAAAATGTACTTATTAGCACCTAAAATGTATATATTAGCACCTAAAATGGACAAAAGTGTACTTTTTGAAATGGTACAGCCCCAGTGACAGCTTCTGTACCTTTTTTTCTGAGAATGTAATAGAACTTAGTGCATTATATAGACATTATATATACACACACACACACACATACATACATATATAAATGAAGTTGAATAACTGACCCGAAAAAAACGGTTCATCCTAAAGAATGAGTTAAACCCAAAGTGGAAACACAGCAAGTCGAATGGTATGATGCTTATCAGGTCTGTCTGTTGGGAGAAAATAAAATCATTTTATATACTAATTAACATATAGTAATTATTTGTATTCTTTTTTTACACACCTGATATCTGGTAGATTCTCTGTAGTTCTGTTTTGTCATTATTCTGTCTTTCTGAAGAAAAAACATTTGTTTGAGTTGAAATCCTAATGTCGCGATTTGAAAGGTGTAAGGCGCAGTCGATAAAAAGACTTACTATGATGTCTCCTGCTTTCACAAACTGTAAGCGTGTCTGAAACATGGTGATGTCTATGATGTTCACCAGGTCTGCCAGGACATCGAAAAAGATCCAGAAGGGGATTGACTCAGGCGTGTGGTACGGGAAACACAAACGTGCCGTGGCGAGCCAAACATTATAGTTGAAAGCGATGGTGACGACACAAAGCCATTTAATATACCGCCGATCTGATGAGAGAAAATCGTATTTCGGCCAATGTTTTATACTTTAAAAGCTATCTTCTGTAGTTCTCATAGTGTCCTACCTGTGAAAGGGTCAATGGTTGTCCCCAAATATGAGTCCATCTTGTCTTCGAAAGGTTTGAGAAGTGTGTCTATGCATGTGCATTTGATTTTAGGGCAGATAGCTTCGGCCTCCTCCTTATCCGCCTGCTCCTTCTCAGCTTTCAGCTTTTCCTCTTTCTCCTTCTTTTCTTTCTCCTCTTTTTCTTTCTTCGCAGCAGCTCTCTTAGCATCATCCTCTTTTTTCTTCTGCTCAGCCTCTTCTCGCTGTATTCTCTCCGCTTCCTGCTTTCTGTTCCAGTCGTCCTTTCGATAAACCGGTGCTGGAAATCAAGTTCAGAAACAGATGGATTAAAACCAGATCGTTTTTCATGATTTTGCTGGACAGAACTGGTCATTTATGGTCATTTGATAGTCCAAGCTGGTCTAGATGGTTGATCAGAAGGACTAGCGGCTGGTTTTCACTTGGTAGACAATTCTTTTCCACTTAAAGGAGTAGTTCACTCTTAAAAAAAAAACTTTTGCTGATAATTTACTCACCCCCATGTCATCTAAGATGTCCTCGTCTTTCTTTCTTCAGTCAAAAAGAAATTAAGGTTTTTGATGAAAACATTCCAGGATTTTCTCCATATAATGGACTTCAATGGGAACCAAACAAGGTCAAGGTCCAAATGAGAGTTTCAGTGCAAACTGTTCAAAGGGGTTTAAACGACACCAGACGACGAATAAGGGTCTAATCTAGGACCCTTCGAGTCATGACTCGAAAAAAGATTTGTTCATTTTGATGAACGAGTTCGAACAGGAGAGTCACGAACGCGCATCACAGAACAGAGCAAGGCGACCATTTGTGCTTCTAAAACTTAAACTTTTTTATTTATTTTTTAAACGACCGCTCGTTTCAATAGATAAGACACTTATTCATCACCTGGTGTCATTTAAAGCCCTTTGAAGCCGCACTGAAACTGTCTTTTGGACCTTGAACCATTTGGTTCCCATTGAAGTCCATTATATGGAGAAAATCCTGAAATGTTTTCATCAAAAACCTTAATTTCTTTTTGACTGAAGAAAGAAAGACGAGGACATCTTGGATGACATGGGGGTGAGTAAATAATTTTTTTTTTTTTTTTTTTTTAAAGTGAACTACTCCTTTAAGCTGGGATGACCGGGTTTTTCCAGCAGGATGAATGAGTCAAACTGTTTAAATTCACCATGAAATTACAACTGACAATCCTTATTTTTTATGGAACATTGCAGTATTTTTTTTATAAATAATTTGTGCTTCGTAACCTTTAATCAAAATAACTTCCCTTCCCTCTTGCATTGACTTCTCTGATGACGTGTTTCCTGGCACGAGGGTGGGGCAACCTGTCACTCACATGACGTCGACCAATAGCAAACCACAAACATCCAACAGTCCAATCAATTCCCAATGGACAAAATCAAGTCCTGCCTTTTCTTTCGAGAAGCCATTTTAATTGGACATATGTCATAATTTAGAAAAAAAAGACTATTGCAACTTCCGTTTCAAGCTGACTTTAAGAATACAAGCTCCTTGAGAAACAGAGAAATGAGAAACACCAGCTAGATCATTTCTTTATCTTTATTCATACTCACTGACGGGTGGGCTGCGCTCTGGGGACGAGGCATAGGGGTCAATCACTTTCTCCTTATAAAGCTCCGTCCTCTCGCGGAGTTTCTTCACAACATCTCGCAGCTGGTCGTCAGAGTATCTGTTGATGACGATGGGTGGAGTAGGTGGTGGAGGTGCTCCTTCCTCACTACATGAAGAAAGAGACAGGAATGTAGGCTTAAATAAAAAATCCCTAGTTGTAGAAGTGGTAATGGTGGCGGTGGTTTTAGAAGAAGTAGACAAAGTCGTGAAGATATAGGTTTCCTGTTCTAAATCTGAAAGCTTGATTAATCAAGAATATTTTAGTCAAGTCAAATGTATGATTTTGTATAGGGCAATACACGATTTTTAAAGCAGCTTTACAGAAAATCATTATTTCAAAAGAGGGAAACACACACAACCACAGCCAACAAATCTATTCTGAGCAGTTCCTCTACTCAGTCAAACATTAGCAGGCGAACTTACTGTAGATGACACCTTGTACTAGTATTCACAATCTTTAATTCTGAAGACATGTCAGTTGTGGTTGTTCTTGATGAGCTGATGCTGTCCTGTTTATTGCAGTTAGCTAAAATGGGCCCATATGGTAAATTTAGTCTTACTCAAGACATTAGGATCATCACATACAGCACTGTGACTGGAAAATGGGGACTGCTTAGTGCTAAGAATAGCTATGTACTGACACAAAAAAACAAAATAACAGTATAAAACAGAAACTTCTGTTTCCCCGTGAGACCGTTCCCATGATCTTCTTAAGTTATAAATACAGCAGATCCCCTAATCTCCTTTCAGCTACTTTTGGAGTCACACGCTGCACATCCATACAAGCCAACAGTGATACGATAAAGGGCCAAAAGTCACATATTTCAATTGACCCATTCAAAAAAAAAAAGTCTAAAATAATAAAAAAGCCACTATATATCTTAAAAAAAAGAAAAAAAGTTGCTTTTTGTATTTTAAGAGTAAAATGCTTGAGAGTCTATGATTGGATCATTATTGCAGTTATTTTTATGTTTCTGCATGTTTTCTGTTTCTTCTAACACTAATCCAAACTCATTTACAGGTTGTCTAAACTCTTACCCCTCTGCAGCTTCTGCTCCAGGATTGGCTGGATCTGCAGATTTGGCCTCTGGTTTAGGGGGCTCTGGAGCAGGAGCAGGAGCAGGAGCCGGTTCTTAAAAAGTACAGACCTGAATTAGACGTTTTGAGATACTGAATATTTGATATTGCTAATGTCGAATATCTGCTAATTTCTGGATTTGCACATCAAGATAAAACACCTAACAACAGTATATGTGTATGTGTTTGCACACTTTACATGTTAAAGGAGTGATGAACGAATTAACAAATCTTTTTCCGAGTCAATTCGTTCATTTCGTTCGTTGAATGAACCAAATGACATGAAAAAAGATTTGTTCATTTTGATGAACGAGTTCGAACAGGAGAGTCATGAACGCGCATCACAGAACAGAGCAAGGCGACCATTTGAGCTTATAAAACTTAAACTTTTTTTTTTTAAATGAGCGATCGTTTCGCTTGATAAGACCCTTATTCATCGTCTGGAATCGTTTAAAGCCCTTTGAACAGTTTGCACTGAAACTGTCTTTTGGACCTTGAACCGTTTGGTGCCCAGTAAAGTGCATTATATGGAAAAAAATCCTGGAATGTTTTCATCAAAAACCTTAATTTCTTTTTTTTTTTTTTTGACAGAAGAAAGTATGACATGGACATCTTGGATGACATAGGGGTGAGTAATTTATCAGCACAAATTTTTTTTAAAGTGAACTACTCCTTTAAGACTCCTTTTTAAGCCTCAGCTTTTCCTGACATCCTAGTTAACTACTAAAGCATTCTAATACTTTTTTATGATGATAAATTATGCATTTTCATTCAAATATTGATGGATCAAGATGAAAATATCAATCATACCTATAAAACTCTTAAACAAACATGTACACAGTGAATTGTAGTTTCCCTTAATTGAACATCATGAAGACTCACCAGCAGGCTTTTCCTCCTCCTTTTTCTCCTCATCTTTCTTTGCATCTGACTTTTCCTCCTGTGAACACCAGAGAAAGATCTTTCTTTTTTCCCCTCACAACTCATTTCCAGTTTATAGCAAACTGCATCAGAGGTATTGAAACTTCAGTAGCTTGATGTTGAGTAGCAGTTTCATTTATTAATATATGACAATAGCTAACAAATAATACATGTAAGTAAATATCCACCAGTTACTTTTTTTTTTTTTACAAGATTTTAGATTTTAAAAAAGTCAAATATAATTTTTTTTATTACATTTGATATTTTTCCACAATTCACACAAAGTCTTTTGGTATGGCAAATAATTTATAAATGTATACAAATATTCTAAAAATTATTATGGGGTCACAAACTCTAGATGCATTAAAAAAAAATAATAGAAAAGAATGAAAGGAGTCCACTGTATAATTTACCTTGTAATCTTCTTTAACGTAGGTCATAAATAAATACATATATTTTAGTATATTCAAATAATGAACATTTATGTACTTATAAGTGTACTTAAGTACATTTTTAATTACATTTATGTACTTATAAGTATACATACATGTACTTATAAGGCTTGTATGTGATGAGATAGTTATGGAGAGCTAAATGTTGGTAAGAATGTGATTGTGTATTATTGTGACATAATGCTAAATGCTGTTGTACTGTTTGTTCTCAGGACCCCTTCGAAAACGAGATGTTACATCTCAAGGGGCTATCCTTCGAATAAATTTCAAATGTTATGCTCTAAATATTTTGGATTTGTCTCTTAGACTAGTTGCAAAGTTAAAGTAAAGCACTGTCCAGACAACATCTCTAATTCACAAGATTTCCTTTTTAAAGTGTAATTATCACACAATCTCCAAAAGATAACTGGCTCTTTTACATAAAATAGATGAATGGCTCGGGATCCTACCATTCACATGAAAGTCAAAAACATTATTAAGTCAATTTTAGCTATTTAAATCTCCATAGCTTATTCAAATCACATATTCATTAAACCAAGCTCTCGTTGAGCTGTGCGTGAAGGATGATGGCGTTGTTGTTGTTGTGCTAAAGCCAGCTGGTCATACCTTAATCGGACCAGCAGATGCTGGGTTTGGAGTCGGAGCCGGACCCGGAGCCGGTGCTGGTGTCTGTGGTCCTGGGACCTGAGCTACTACTGCCACAGTATTGGGCCAAAAAATCTTTTTCAACGTGCTAAACATGGTTGTTGCACTGCTCGCAATCACATTCCGATTTATCCCTCGGCTCCTTATCCAACTGTCGCTGATTTGTGAACTCCGACCTGCTCAATTAATTCTTAGAGCCCTATTAATTCCTTCTTAGAACCAGCCCATTTCCCATGGTTCACCACAGTTTGACTGACCTATCACAGGCCTTCTCACTTGCAGTCATCCAGTCACAGTCCTTCCCTTAAAATTACACGTAGAGGGTGTTGCAAAGGGCCACCTCTTTTTGTAAAGCCAAGATAACATGCAATGACTTTTGATTGAGATGTAAGATATTTGCTTTTTTTCAAAGTGTGCTAGACAGGTCTTTAATAGTGAGGTCAGACTGACAGGCTATTCTGGAGCTGTGAGCTATTCTTTCTCTGTACTGTATTTTTGCTCTGGGTTCACATTTAGAATGACCACTTAGTTAATTAAAACTCTCAATGTCCCTGCCAGACTAAAGAGATTAACTGTGAGATCTCACGGCAGACTGACTCGACTACCAATCTTCCGCTAAACGAGAGCACATGTGAACTCTCAAGTATAAATACTTGATAGATTATATGTTATATGTAGTGTTATTAAATTTTTTGTGCATTGAGAAACTCAATATGCTTCAGAAATGAGGTCCAATGTACTATGGAATTTAAAAAAATCATTTTTATTAAGGTTCCAGTACAAAATAGTCTACAAACATACTGTTTTGGAAGGATGGTTGCAATCTCAATGCATGTATAAAGCATATTAGCTCTTTGGGTTTGAAAAAAGTGCATTACAAATAAAATGTATTATTATTATTATTATGTATCACTATTAATACAACTGGACAAGTACTGCAGTTGGCAGGGAAAGGAGCTCCTTTTCAAAACTTTTAGAGACATATAAAAATATTTATTTAGTAAAATACATGACAGTAGATGATTTCAAAATGAACTAAAAATCCTCAAAGATAAATATTTAATGGATTTCGTGTGATTATTGACGTTCTGATGAAGCTGCAGTCTAAAAAAAAAATAGAAAGATAGAAAGAAACCAAAATGTAACCAAGCTGCAACATTTTTATTTAGTATACACTACCACTCAAAAGTTTGGGGTCAGTAAGATGCTTTTGGAAAAAAAAAATCTACAAATACACAGTAAAAGTAAAAACATTAATATATTATTACATTTTAAAATAACTTTTTTTATTTCTAGTTTTAGTCATTTATATTTATGAAAAGCTGTATTTTCAACATCATTACTCCAGTCTTCAGTGATCCTTCACAAATCATTCTAATATACTGGTTTTCTGCCCAAGAAACATTTATTATTATCATCAGTGTTGAAAACAGCTTAATATTTCTGTAAAAAAATGAATTTTGATGAAAAGAACGTTCAAAAGAACAGCATTTATTTTACTTTCTTATCACTTTTGATCAGTTTAACGAAACATCTTACCGACCCCAAACTTTAACATATATATATCTGAGAATGTCTTACCTTAAGTCTGTCCATAAAGCCTTTTTTGGAGAATGGACCTCCTGTAAAAGCACGCAACATTTTTGGAGTTGGAGGTTTTTGTCCGAACTGAGTCAGTCCTTTTTTCTTCTCCTCGTCGGCTTTAGCAGCAGGAGGTGGACCCTTGGCTTTCAGCAGTTTTCTGTGAAGAGTGTTAACTGGTATTTAAGATTTCAACGTTGGTAGTACATTTTAGTTCATGTACACTCTTAGAAGAAAAGGTTCTATATAGAACCTTTAAGGTTCTATCAGCGCTACGTATTTGGAACCCCTAAAAGGTTCTATACACTCTTAAAAAGGGTTCCTCTGGGTTCTATATAGAACCCTGGGGTTCCGTACTTGGCCAATAGAACCTTTTACCAAAAAAAAATGGTTCTATATGGAACCATTTTGGAGTTCCATATATGAAGCGGGGGATGGAACCATTTCTGGTTCCAAATAGAACCATTTCTTCTAAGAGTGATAGGCTAGCAATGAGACCACACCCCTCTCGCCTAGATTATAACACCAACACATCTACTCCAGCCGGAATAACATTTAACTCAAACAGAGAAATTTCAAGCAGGCTGAGAGATATTTGAGATTGTGATTCTTGAGATTTGTGTTCTTTTAAATGAATCAATCAAACCCTTTCAGTAAGAACTGCCCTTTCAGTAAGTAAGGTGTGTTCTCATTTATTGGTGGTCTTTAAAATTTCACAGCCAAAACCCAGTCAGAAATCATCGCGGTCTTAAGTTTTGTGTCAAGGTGAAAAAGTTGTTCAAGTTCTGACCAACAGAAAGCTGCAGGGGTTGAAAGAAACCATATTTACCGAACCTTGTTTTAAAAAGAATATTTTAAATGTATATCTATCTTGTTTTAAAGGGTTAGTTCACCCAAAAATGAAAATTAAGTCATTAATTACTCACCCCCATGCTGTACCAACCCCGTAAGACCTTCGTTCGTCTTCGGAACACAAATAAAGATATTTTTGATTAAATTTGAGAGCTGTATAACTACCACATTGGCTCCTAAAGGACTGCCTCTTGACGGCCCAGAAAGTCAATGAAGAAAATGTTTAAATATCCCAAGTGACTACCGTGGCTCAACTATATGTTTATCAAGCGACGCGAATACTTTTTGTGCGAAAAAACAAACAAAAATAACGAGTTTATTCGACTATTTCTTTTCTTCCTTGTAGGCCTGAACGAGACTTCCTTAGATTTCCACGACGCATGCGCGAGAATTGCGATCTGAAGTGGTGTAAGCTGGTGTAAGCAGATCGCAAATCTCGCGCATGCGTCGTGGAAATCTAAGGAAGTCTCGTTCTGGCCTACAAGGAAGAAAAGAAATAGTCGAATAAACTCGTTATTTTTGTTTGTTTTTTCGCACAAAAAGTATTCGCGTTGCTTGATAAACATATAGTTGAGCCACGGTAGTCACTTGGGATATTTAAACATTTTCTTCATTGACTTTCTGGGCCGTCAAGAGGCAGTCCTTTAGGAGCCAATGTGGTAGTTATACAGCTCTCAAATTTAATCAAAAATATCTTCATTTGTGTTCCGAAGACGAACGAAGGTCTTACGGGGTTGGTACAGCATGGGGGTGAGTAATTAATGACTTAATTTTCATTTTTGGGTGAACTAACCCTTTAAGGATATTTAGACAAAAAAATGTTTCACTGCTCATCTACATGAACTTCTGCTTAACAGAATAATGAGACATAACTCACCGTCCTTTCCTGGCCAGCACTTTCTGAGACTCGGGGTAGTGAATCAAGATGTCATTGAGATCTTTCTTGTCCAATACAAAGAGATTAGCGAATCCATGAGCCGCTACATTAGCAGTTCTTCTGTTTCCACCATTGGCTGAAGATTGTAGCAGACTGGGGATGATTATAAAAACACATGATATGTCACATTCATGACGTGTAGCTGTAAAAGCAGATTCTCATTTGAATACCTCACCTGATCTCCCCGAACACACAGCCTGCCTTTAGAGTCACGAACACAATCGTATTGTCCGGCCCACCGATGACCTGCACCGCTCCGGCCTTAATAATGTACATTTCCTTTCCGATGTCACCCTGTGGAGAACCAGGTGTGTGAGGACTTGATGTTTTTGGTGTATATGCATAAATAAAGGGCAATAAAGCTCACCTTCTTGCACACAAAGTCTCCAGGCAAGTACACAATGGACTTCAGCCTCAATAACATGTCCACCAGCATCTGGTTGTCACAACCCTGTTTCAAAAAAACTGCAGAAACATCAACCAACTGACCATGTGGAGCAGATCACTGTCCCTTTCCTTCCCTAAATCAAGCCCACCTTGAAAAGGTCGATCTTTTGGAAAGTGGCGAGGTTGATATCCACAGCGATGGCTGTTCTCATCACCAGAGGCATCTGTTCTAGTAGCTCAGACTCATCTGAGGAAAAAAAAAGATCCTTAATCAGAAGGACCCCGCTGTCATTGCTGCTCATTTGAGATCATTTTAAATGTGAGCTAAGATTTTACCCAGCATGCCCTGGGAATCCCAGGTGTAGTTGTACCAGGTGCGTACTCTGGTTTGAACCAGCCTGGGGATGCGGTTTGACACCATGTACGCCACACAAGAGTCCATAGATGCACGGAAGTAGGTCTGGCCGGCAGTTGCTGCTCCAATGACATCTCTCATCTGTAACGCCAAAGATTGAAGGGATAGTTCACCCAATAATGACTCAACCTCAAGTTTTTCCAAACCTGTATGAATTTATTTTGAAGAATATGGGTAAGCAAGCAGTTGATGGACCCCATTGGACCAAAAATACTATGGATGTCAATGGGGCTCATCAACTGTTTGGTCACCCATATTCATTAAAATGTATTATTTTGTGTTCAGCAGCAGAAAGAAATTCATACAGGTTTGGAACAACTTAAGGTTGAGGAATTTTCCTTTTGGGGTGAACTATCCCTTTAACGTCTATACTGTAGGCCTACATCTGATAGGGATGCACCAATATTAACATTTTAACTAAACGTTTCCGATAAAATGTCATGTTATGGTCGATAACTGATGAAAGACCTATATTAAAATTATATACTATTTTGTCAAATTAAATTCAAAATACAATACTAAAAAACTAAAATCAACCGTCTGAAATGCTACAAATGAATTTAGGCTTCACAACATATGATATACAGCATTAAAAATGAATATTCATTTGTATTAATAAAAAAAACGTTTTATTAGTTTAAATATGTATTTTGAAAAATGGTCAATTTTTATTTTTTAATAGAAATGGTTCTATTTAGAACCAGAAATGGTTCCATCCCCCGGTTCATATATGGAACTCCAAAATGGTTCTATATAGAACCATTTTTTTTGGTAAAAGGTTCTATTGACCAAGTATGGAACCCCAGGGTTCTATATAGAACCCAGAGGAACCCTTTTTTTAAGAGTGCATAGAACCTTTTAGGGGTTCCAAATACGTAGCACTGATAGAACCTTTTAAGGTTCTATATAGAACATTTTCTTCTAAGAGTGTGGTGACTTTAAATAGAATATTGCAGTATTCATTATAAATTATTTATCCTTGCTATCAAAGTGCCCCCATAATAATCTATAATTAAAATAACCTCCCCTCCCTTTTTTAACGACTTCTCTTCTCTGATGACGTGTTTACTGATGTGAGGGCGGGGCAAACTGTCACTCACAGAAAACAATCCAA